ATGTGCATGGACTATGTTGTAATTCTGGAAAAGGTTACAGTAAAATTATTATTATTATCATGAACTCTGGGTCAAATGTGACGAGTGTGTTCACTTGAGTGTTATCTGGGTACTAAGTAATAAAAAAAATAAAAAATAAAAAAGAGGAAAAGTAAATGCCTTCTGGATAAACAGCTACAGAGCAATAAATAACAATCTGTCACAGCAATTATTCTGGTCTGATTCTATCTGTAACATTCTTTCAGTCTTAAACAAGCGGCAGATGAAGCTTTGGGTGTTTTACTTTTTTTTTTTTAAAAGTCCAAATGATCTGCTTCCAGCTACCTAAAAGTGACTATTGTCTTTTATTTTTACTCTTCTATGACAGTAAACGGAATATCTTTAGGTTGTGGGCATACACAAGACTCAAATACTCGAGAAAATAATGATTACTCGCAGCCCTAAAATGCATGTAGATAACGTGTGCTGCAATTTCTGAAAAGGTTACAGTGAAATCATAATTATAGTGAGCTCTGGGTAAAATGTGAAGAGTCTGCTCACTTGACTGTTATGTGGAAACTGGAGAAGAAAAAAAAACAAGAGGAAATGCCTCCTGGGTAAACAGCTACAGAACAATAAACAAGACTTGATTAATTGAGAAAATAATCATTAGCTGCACCCCTAAAATGCACATAGGTAGCCTATGCTTCAATTTCTAATGAGGCTACAGTGGAATTAATATTATAATGAGCTCTGGGTCAAATGTGAAGAGCCTGACTGCTTGACTGGGTTTAAAAAAAAAAGGAAAAGTAAATGCCTCCAGCTACAAAACAATAAATCACAATTTGTCACGACAACGATTCAAGTCCAAAACATTCTTTCAGTCTCACACCAGCAGCAGATGAAGCCTCACACAGCAAAAAAACACACACAAATAAATGGATTTCACAAACTGTCTGTCTGGATATTCCGCAGCAGAGAAACAAATCGGGGAGTTTTATCATGCAACTCAAGAGCAACATAAAGTCATATGAAGGAAAAAAGAAGTAGCCCTTGCTGGATCTCCAACTCGCACACTTGCGTGCCTTCTCACCCTCCTTCACCCTCTCAAACTGACGTCTGCTGGAGCGGCAGCACGCACACCCGGGACAACAACGGCACGGTACGGAACGGTGCGCGTTACAAAAAGTCATCCCTCCCCCCCACAAAAAAAATCCACCCACAACCTGCAAACTTTTACAAGAATATTGTCACGGTTTTTTGTACTTACCGTGTTACAGCAGGAGATAATTCATCCTCCGGTTTGTTCGGAGCGGCGGCGGAGCATGCGCCGTGCCGCCCCGCTGCCCTTCCTGCAGTGAAGGCAGCATTTGCCTGAGAAGCATCTGTCCCGCTGTCACGAGAAGCGGCCGGTTCGCACGCGATGTGTAAATCGGTCAAACTGCTCTTATGCGGCTCGGTGGCAAAGCCTCGCAAACATGTCTTCCCGGCGAGAGGAAAAACCCGTAGAAAAACACGGTTTTTTTTTTTCAAAATAAACTTTACCCCTCGCGATTTAATTTAAGCCTCACCGCGCATGTTAGTTATTGAAATGCTAATTTTGTGGCTGTTTTTCCGTGTTTCGTGTCATGCAATCAACGCTGTGAGACTGCTCTATTTTTGTTGTTGCGTGCATTTCACCAGAAGATGGCAGGGTTACTTTGAGGAAAAGTGTGGAAGGAGTCTCCACATAAACAACATACTTGAAATTATTATTTAAAACAACCACATTTTTTTTTACTTTTAACTCAACAACTTCCTAAAAAAAATAACCTAAATTGAGTCAAATTAAGTTTTGCAACCTTTCAAAATAAAAGTAAATCCATTGCTTCCACCTCGGCGCTCACCTACAGATCAGCCCGCCCCCTATATGGGAATGGAATGTACGTCGCTCCTTGATTGACAGCCCTCGGAGCCAATAGGGAGTTGAGTTTACGCCTCGTGGCCAATAGTAAATATCCAGTACTTCTTGCTCCAACTTTTCTTATTGAAGCCAGAACCTCGAGCCGTCGAGGCATGCACCTTGCCTTAAATCATGCTCCCTACGAGCCCAAACATCGGGAATACCGTGAAGTCCGTCCTAGCCGGTTTCTGGATCACGTTCAGCGTCTGCTCCGTAGGTGTTCGCGGCCAGGAGGGTAAGAAAACGCCCGTTTTGTTGACGCCTTTGATGAGATAAGAAAAGTGACGCTTGATGTCAAACGTCTCGCTAGCTTACTGCTGTCGAGCTGCTAAAACATGTAGTGACATAGTTGTAAAGCACTTGTAAAGACAAGTACCAGTGGCCAATATTGTTTAAAGCATTTTTTCCCTGTGCTATTTAAGGTGGTCATTGTCATACAAACTTACTAACCAGGACTGCAACTAAGGGTTATTTTAACAGTCGATTAATCGATTAGTTGTCTGTGTTTTAAAATTGTACAAAATGTCTGTTAATGTTTTCCAAAGCCCAGCAACACGTCCTCAGATGTGTTGTTTTTTTTTCCACAACACCAAACGTATATACATATATGCACTAGAGATGCAGCTGAGATTTATTTTTATTAATCTGATAATAATTTCCTCAATTAATCGATAAGTCGTTTGCCCAATAAAATGTCAGAAAATGAGGGGAACAGTGTTGGTCAGTGTTTCCCAAAGCCCAAAGCGTCGTCCTCAGATGTCTTGTTCTGTCCACAACCCCAAGATATATTTCCATATATATGCAACTAATGATTATTTTCATCAATCTGCTCGTCATTATCTCAATCGATTTGCTGTTTGGTCTATAAAATGTCAGAAAATGGTGACAGTCAATGTTTCTCAAAGCCCATGATCACAAACGTGAAGCTCTGGTGACAACCAGAATAAATTCAGTTGACTGACATGAGGGACTAAGAAAAAAAAACAACAACAACAACAAATATTCACATTTAAGAGGTTGGAGTCAGAGAATTTGAAGTCAGTCATCATTCAGACTGATTGATCGTTATCAGAAAGTGTTGGAAAATGTAAACTGATATTTCCTAAAGCCAAAGTTTTGTCCTCAATGTAAGGATATTCAGTTTTCATACAAGAGTCCAGAAAATAATCTGTTTGTGTAAGACTGGAATAATATTATGGACAAAATCATACTAGGATAATTACTCAAAGAAATAATTTATTGTTCTGTAGCTATTTACCCAGAGGGCATTTACATTCCCTTTTTTTTTTAACCCATTCCCTGTGACTAGAGATACCAGTCAAGTGTCCAGTTTATTAACATGTCACCCATCTAAATTGTGTTTGTTTATTTATATACTACAGGGCCACAACTAACAGCTATTTTTATTGTCAGTTGTTTGGTCTAGAAAATGTCAGAAAAAGGTGAAAGATGTCAATCAGTGTTCCCCAAAGTCTACGATAACATCCTGATGTGTGTTGTTCGTCCACAGCCCAACGATTTTCAGTTTACTCCCGTACGTGTGGAGAAAACCCAGAAAATGTTCAATTTAAAGAAAAATGACTCAATGATCAGAATAGTTGATTTAATAGTTGACAACGAAATCAGTTAATTTGTGCATCTCTGACTTGAGTAACTAAAACAAAGCTTTCATATTGTTGTATATCAGTGAATATACTCATAACACATAAATAACACATAAATAACACATAAACAGTAGGGCTCTGGTTTTTAAGTCAGCGTCATCCTTTCTGTAGCTGAAATAATTCAGTACAACTGATATTGTGTTTCTTTTTACAACCAAATGTTCCTTTTTAAATCACTTTAAAAGATCTTCCACAGACTTCTCTTGTGCATCAGTGATGGAGAATGAGATCCATGCAAGTTTACTTTTTGTATCAAGCGGAAAGTAAAGTTAAAATGCGATTAAAGTTAAATTGCTTTGCTTCACAGTACACTTATTTCGATGCAGCTATCGCACATGCACACATTGCACTATGTTGTGTAGCCCTACTGCTGACTGCTTCAGAGTCTATTAACTGATACCATAACCTAGACCTACATTCTGCAGCGCAGAAGTCGTGATAGTTTTGACATGTTTAACTGTCAGTCCTACTTTTAGTGTAACTAAGCTGTATGTTTTTGGGCCCCTGGGGTAGTACTGTATTTCAAATTGAAGTAAGTGCAAAGGTTGACCATGTGATGTCATGGGGGCATTCTTTACATACTCTCTCCTTGTCCATGTTTACCTACCGAGCCCAGCTATCAGCTTACCTTTCCCACAGGTTTTTTTCAAAGGCCCGGTATGAATCACACTGACCATATGTACACACAGACAAACAGAATAACAAGTTGCTGGCCTGCAGACTATGACGCTAACAGCCAGCCATACCACAAATCTTCTTTTGTTATTTTTGTCTGTCTCTGGGGATTTGGTTTCCTCACATCGGAAGATGATTAAGACCAGGGTAAATAATTTAATCTGAATCACTTTTTCGCTTGGGAAATTCACCAACAAATCCGAGCTTTGGTGAGGGAAACGTTTCAGCCTCTGCTGCTGTGATTGACACACAAGACGGTATAAGGCAATGTAGTGACAGGGAGCACAGGTGAACATCCTGTCTGCTAGTGTGGACCTGTAAGGACCTGCCAGCAGAGCCTCAAGTGGAAAAACAATGTTGCCGGTGTGCTTCTGATCGACTGTCTGCTACCTTGCAACCCGCTTTCAGTCCAGTTTTCACCTTCTGAATTTTCTGAACTGGTCAGAACAAGCCGAGCATGTATCAGTCTGAAACTAAAAGCACACCGGCCCTGAGACAGACTGTAGGTGAAAGAGTTCAGTGAGCAGGGGACAATTACCGGCCACCCAGAACTTCCCCGGCTTTGCTGCCTCTGTGGCCTCCCACCGGAAGGTGACAGATCCATGCTCTGTTGCCCACGGTTACAGTATGTTGCTGTGGCATTTCCAGGGAATCCTTTGGGGACCTGAGGAGGGGTAATAACATTCAAAGGTTTACGGTATTAGGAGCTGAAGGGCTGTTAGGAAGGAAAGGAATGGCTGGTGCGATGCAGGATGTGTGACACAGGGTGAGTGGAAGGTTATCCCGTGGCTTTCCCTCAACACATGTATCCAGGAGCCTTATATGGAAAACAAGGACAGGGATGATGTTTAGCATCAGACTGACCCTGGTGCCTTCTTCAAGTTTTGACCATTCTGGGAACACGTCACCACTTGACATTTTCGGGGTAGAATCTGCCGCCCCCACACCACTAATCTCTGTGTAACCACTGTGGGAATTGACTCATTTATTTTCTGTGACCCAAGGGGATGTTGGACCATTTAAATATTTGTGTTTTCCGTTCAAGTGTTAGTCACAACAGCCGCAGGTCAGAGGATGTGGTGAATCAACATTCAAGAAACACTGTTTTTCTAAGAAACTAATCCATAATTTTGACCCAAAAAAAAGCCCTTTTGGTCCATTTTCTTGCCTTTCCCTTAATAACAGCGTCCTGTGATTTACAGTAAAAATCACAGAATTTGTGTTTGTGTTTGAAGAGTATCTTTTGCAACATATCCAGGTTGTAGTTTTTAAGAACTGCTCTCACTGGAAGTTGTGTCATCTCACAGTTATGATCAGAAGAGTATAAACATGCCCCGGTCTGCTGTGCATGTTTGGATTAGACTTGTTACTCATCTGTCCTGAAATAGTGCATCAACAAAGCCTTTAATATTCAGTGTATTTAATCAAGAGAATTGATGACAATACTGTCTGCGGTTGAGTGGTTTTGGTTTTCCTAAAAATGAGCCGATAATTCCGCACTTCTCACGGCTGTTTCCCAAGTGAAGCTGATTAGTTATAAAATGCTTTGATCTCTACCAGCTGCATAAGAAATTAACACTTATTGACACATTACCTGTACAGTGGGGCTGAATAATTTCGGGGAATTGTTTAATTGCACTTTTTTTCTGACAGTTATTGTGGTTTGGTTTGTAACATAATTTTTTAAAATCGAGCTGCAATTTAGTATTGACTGTGCAGCGGATTTAAAACACGTGACGAGCGCACAAGGAGGACGGCATAAAATTGTAAAACTGTTTGCACAGTTTAAACCCTGGATCGGATGTGCTGCAAAAGGTATTAGGTGTGGCTATTAAATAATGAGACTGGAGTTACGTCAGTCGAACCAAAGCGTGCATGCCTGAACTACGTAGTATGAGTTGATCAGTGAGCACAAATGAACAGAGAGTGTCACTCTGCTCCAACTGAATAAAACTGAATTACAGCATTAGTCTCATTATTTAACAGCCAAACCTCATGTGTTCCCATTTGCAGGCTTTGCCTTGTTTCAAACTGCAATTTCCTTTTGAAACTGATTAATTGTTCAGCCCTACTTCACAGCACGCTGCACAACTGAAACTAGTCGCAATTAGTTGATCAGTCAGTTTGCAAAAAAAATAAAAATAAAAATAATGCCAAAAACGCTCGGGCTCAAGCATGTCAAATGTGAATATTAAGTCTGCTGTTCAAATTACTGTTTAGACAAAACAAGCAATGGGAACGTGCCAACTTGGAATAACCTGGTTATTATATCAGAAAATAAACTACAAGAGTAATATAACAGAAGTAATCATTAGTTGCAGCTGATTTGTTTCAATGGAAGTGACACAAGAACCAAAGAAGGAAGAAGTCTTCCCTGAATTAGTTTTAGGAATTACTGTTGATTTTATCATCTGAGTGTTGTTCTTTCCTTCTCACTGCCTTCTTATTGTGCTTGTCTTACGTCAGGTAATGGCTGTGGACACACACTGCTGGGAACTGAGTCCGGCACTTTAGCCTCTCAGAACTACCCGGGCACCTACCCCAGCAACACCTGGTGTAAGTGGAGGCTTCGGGTGCCGGAGGGGCGGACGCTGCGACTGCTGTTTGGGGATTTTGACATTGAGAGCAGTCCAGGCTGCGGCAATGGCTCCATGGTGATCACAGATAAAAACGGAGAGCGCAGCCTGGGTGAGTTTACCTCTGATGCTCTAATGCATTTCAGAGTGATATCTGATTACGCCTCACCAGTGTCCCCATCACCCTTTACTGACTTTTTATGTTCCATGCCATTGCTGACGTTCTCCCAGGCATGAATATGGAACACACACACACCAGGCATGCCATTCGATTGACACACACGCTGACAGAAGAGACAAATCCAGTTGCGCAACAGACAGACAGACAAGTGTACATTTTGCAACTCGCTGCATCAAGTCATGTCTTGAGGGCCTAAAAATTTGACAACACACCAAACACAATGAGATTCGGGAGGTAAAAATATTCTGCTTAGGCTGCCTGCTGCGTCTATTATCGGATTCCACAGAGCCTGGCTCAGAATTTTATTGTGTTCTCTCTTCTCCTCAGTGTAGCTGTCCTTACATGTAGATTTTCCACGTGACACATTACTATACAGTCAAGCATTAGCAGTGTGAGACTGACTTATATCGTTTGCGAGAGGACCGGCAATAAATGCATTCCTGAGTCACAGAAGTAGTCTTCAGTGTGTTGAAGAATGCGTTTGTGTTTTTGAGCTTTAGAAATATACTTTGTGGTTGTGCTTCTTCACAGGTCCAGTATGCGGGAAGCTTGATGCAGCACAGAAGAATGTGACGCTTAAAAGTAATGAAGCAACAATAATATTTAAGTCAGGCCCACATCGTTCTGGACGAGGGTTTCTGCTTTCGTACACCACAGACCAGAATCCAGGTACGCTGCTCTGATTTACATCATGCTGGTTGCAACTGGGTCAGGTAGCTGTATTAAGTGCATGAATGCAGTGTATTGCTAATATCTGAGGTCTCATTAGGTATTACTGTTGTGTTTACTTCTGTTGCTGGCCATGAAAAGCACATACCTTGGCTTTACAAATGCCAGAGTTGTAGTTGTGTTTGCTCCTTTACAAGTTTACACTGGTGTCATTTTAACACCGGCTTCTCTGTGAATATTTATCCCTGCCTATGTGCGCTTGTGTGTTGATGTGTGTGCGATTGTATGAGTCACTGCTTATTGGCATTCATCCTCCATCGCCATCTTTGCTCTGGTATGTTTGCTCAGAAAACAGAAGTGAGACTCCTTCTCGCAGGCTGAATGGAGGGAGGCCTCAGGCTTCAGTCTGTCACTTGGAGTGGCTTGATTTCTCTCACACACACACACACACACACACACACACACACACACACACATACCCCTCATCAGCCTGTTAACCACTTCAAGCCCCCGCCACTGTCGCCATAAGGCCTTTCTACTGATGATTTAGCTGTTATTAATTCTGCAAACTTGAACTCTCTCCATCAGTGCAGCAGCAAATATGTACCATGTGTGCATACGTTCATTTAGTGATTAAAGTTCAAATGTTGTGCTTCTTGATAGTTTACATTCAATCACAGGATGTTACAAAGGTTACGGTTCTTCTGGTGTATGATTTTTAATAACCGTGTACACTTGTTTACTCCGAGTACGAGTCTATACTTAGAGATCGTCTCCTTTTCTGTGGATGAGGTAATCCGGACTGTACAGTATGTATCATAGTTTCCTGTTTTCTACTGAGCTGTTTATGAAATCCGGCAGTGTCTGGACCGGAGCTAAGCCTGTGTTCAGACATACAAACCACTGTCTGTTAACTGTAATCACACGAGGGCCACTCGCTGTACTCGTGAACTGTGACAGAGTCACAGTAACAAAGGGCTTAGTCACATCAACAGCGATGACCGCTCATCCCCTGATATAGCACACTTGGGGCATGCTAGACTGTCTCACACAGAATCTGTGTTTGTGTGGGGGGGTGTTATGTAAGCCTGAAGCACAGGGTCCCACTCCGTACTGTTAGAATCCACATGTAAACACTTCAAAAGAAAGTGTGGGTTAATTCTTTGTAGTGTTGAGTCTAACATCTGTCTCTTTTCTTTTTTTCAGACCTCATTTCTTGTTTACAGCGAGGATCTCATTTTAGCTCGCAGCATTTGAGGTGAGTGGTTTACCTCTGCATCATCCAATAATAGAATCTGAGTAAAACTGCAAGTGTTTCTCACATGCTGCTCTGCTGTTTCTCAGCGTGTACTGCCCCGCTGGGTGCAAGAATGCCACAGGAGACGTTTGGGGGAGCTACGAGCAGGGCTACAGAGATGTAAGCACGCCGTGTTTGATTTGGCCAAGTTGTACGAGAAATGTTTGATCAAATATGTGCCTGAAAATGCTCCACATGTCTCCTTCTGCCACAGACCTCAGTCCTGTGCAAGTCTGCAGTCCACGCTGGAGCTACATCTGATAGTTTGGGAGGTCGCGTCACTGTGACTCGTGGCAGAAGTCTTACGCTCTACGAATCCACCTTTGCCAATGGAATCCTTTCTAAAATGTGCGTTAGCTGTCCAAATTTTTAAAATGATAGATTACAGTGATCTTTGAGAGTCGCCAGTTGGCTCCAAAATGATTTATTTTAAATGCGTACAGACACTGACCTTTCAATGATCCTCTTTTGACAGGGGATCATTATCTGAAAAGAAGCTGCTTTTCAGCCAAGGTATGAGCCCGGCATGACATTTACAACCACATGTTACAAACTCTTCAGAGGGCATGCACCGTACTATTGAGTGTTTTGGCCTAATTGCTTTAAGTAGCACATTATTTACATTCCTGCTGTAGTGTTTTCAGTTTTAGAAGTGACGGTTTCCTACCTTAAAGACAGGTTTAACTGTGCATTGCTTTTAAGATGGTATAAAAAAAATACATTTCTTGATTCACCACATGAGTCTGCAAACAATCGCTGTCAGTGAAATATACATGATTTGTAATCAAGTGGTAAATGTTGCTGTTTATGAAACACTGGGTTGCATCATGGAACACTTCATCAGCGGATCCTTTCTGTCTAACAGAATGTAACAACATCCTGGCCGTTTCGGGTTTAAATGCCTCGTCTTTCTGGGATAAAAACAGTCAAGAGCACAGAATGTTCTGGTCCTCCAGCAACATGGACACCAGCCATGAGTTCCTACTCTGGGCAGCGGCCAGTAATGATCGGAGCCCGTGGGTGGAGATGGAGCTGGGCGATAGACGCACAATCACAGGTAGCGATGTAAATGTGAAAGTAGTATTTGTGTGTAAAATATCTTTATTTAACAACACTTGAATATATATTTTAATGAACCTGTTAAACCTAATTTCTTTGATTATTCTCACTTAAACACTGCTATGTGCATCAAGACTAAAAAACGTATTTCACCATGCTGAATGTATCCGCCAACAACTTGTTCATAAGTATGTTTTATTTTGTTCTATGTCTCTTGTCTTTTGTTACACAGCCTGCAGTTCAGCTGAGTAGTTGCTTAGTTTCTGTTATTTGATTGCAGCCACTCAGTGCTTCTTGGTTGCACTGAGGTGTGCAGATTTAGATTTTATTTTTTTTACAGAATCTAATGCAAACTGTTAAAATAGAGACTTAGAATGAAGGGATTACAGTGAAATATGATGTTCAACTAATATTTGATTAATTCTCATGGCCAAACCAATTTATTGAATTTCCCTTCTGGGATAAATAAAGTATTTTCGATTTCATTCATTTCAAACCCCATGTCACGTGTGTGTAGTTCAAGGACTATCAGAGATTTGAACATCTGACATTTCTTTCTGTTTTTACACTTTCTTTCTTGATAAATGTGCCATTTTGGTGATTTAAAAAAAAAATAAAAATGACAAGACAACAAGACTTTTAAATCCATTTTTATGTTTCACAACATTGACGGATAGCTTCAGCAATGTTCTCTATTTTTTCTTACTATAAACAGAAAACTTTTGATTTTTGACAAATTCCAACGAGGCACATCGCGTTTGCAATGTGTTGATGTATTGGTTGCAGATAATTTTATCTTAAAAATCATTGTTCTGTCTGTCCTCAGGAATAATAACAACAGGATCAAATCAGTACTACATGGAATCCTTCTTTCTGCAATTCAGCAAAGACAGAAAGAACTGGAAGCCTTACAAAGGTGCTCTGAGCAAAGAAAAAAAGGCAAGTGTTGCCGTGTACATTATCATTCAGTCGATGGTTATTGAGGCACCAACCGCCTGAGCTTCTATAGCAACTCAGGGCATCATTAGAGCTGTAGTCATGATTTTATAAGGGCCTCAGTGCTCTCTGTGTGTAAGTAACTTGCTCTTTATGGCTCCTAGGTGTTTCAGGCCTACACTGATGGCCACCTCAGGGTGCTCAACAGCTTGTTCCCTCCTGTGGTGGCTCGATTTGTTCGGTTGCAGCCTCTGAGCTGGCATGGAAGAGCCTCAGCTCAGCTTCAGGTTCTGGGCTGCCCTGTTGCGAAGTTCACACCGAGGTCGCGCTCACCAGCAGGTACACATTAGCGACTTAGACTTCCAATTTCTTTTCAGTTTAAACTCCATCTGGTGACTTGATTTGATGAGCGCTCGAGGCTTTCTGATGGGAAGTTTTTCTGTCCAACAGAATCTCCGTCCATCAAAGTTAACATGGATACACCGCGCCCAAGCTCCCCTCCCACCCCCACAGAAGGGCCGGTAATAATGGAAACGACACTAAGTACGTACTTGTCTGACCATCTCATTTCCGTAGTTTCTCTGTGTAAAATGAACGCCAGTCTATTCGAGGAAGGATGCTTGTTACATGAGGAAAACCAACGCAATGCGCCCTTTAATCTCACATTCGGTGTTGCGTACATTGCAATTAACTGCATTCCTTCCTCACACGTGTTCAATTGTTAGTCACTCAGACACTTGCACTCTTGCAGGCTCCAGTCAGCCAGTGATAGTGGCCGTAGGAGTGGTCCTGGGGCTGCTAATGTGTGGGAGTTGTTTGCTGGCCGGAGTCTGGTGGAAACGAAGGTACTGTGTATTAATACTGTTGAACTTTTACTTTGATTGAAATGGATTTTTAATACATGGAGTGCTCAAAAGAGGATATTTTATTCATGCCCATACGGTTTTGACGGCAATGCAAGGCTGCTACCAACAGTTATGTTACTGTTTAGTCATCTGCTGGTTATTTATTATGATGGACTAACAGTTTAGTCTGTGAATTGTCAAAAAAATTGGGAATCAATGCTCATCACAGCTCCCCAGAGCCCAAGGTGACATCCTTAAATCTCTTGTTTTCCTCGAGCTAAAGGTCGAAACTCAAACAAATTCTAATTATGTGATACGTAACTAAGAAAAGCAGCAAATCCTCTATTTTAAAAGGTGAAACCAGAGATTTTTGGGGTTTATTTGTTGTGTGTACATTGACTTAGATGATAATTGGATTGTTAAAATAACTGCCTATAATTTTTTTCCCAATAAATTTTCCAGTTGCACACTGTACAGCAACTGTATGAAGCATGTAAAATAAATACAGGTTTTCTACATAGCTATGCATTTCTTATGTTATGGCGTTGTGTTTTTTTCTGAGCAATATCTGGCACAAACATTTCCTTCTTTGTCTCTTTCCCCATGTAGGAAAAAAGACTCACAAATGAAGAACTCCTTACCCACTAGTAAGTCGAGCACCCTTTAAGTTTTCCAGCACTTTTTAAATCTTATTAAAAAAGACTGACTATATGTGTTTTGTGTCAATTAGATTGTCAGAGTTTCAAAGCAAAGAGCCTCCCCTGCCCACACTCAGAGCTCATCTCGTACCCTCTGGAGCGAAATATTCACGACGCTCTACCTAACCCTCCTCTTAATGGTAAGAATTCATAAATATTTAAAGATTTTTTTTCTTGTTTTAAACAGGGACACTGCTGCAGCTCCCTTTTTTTCCTGCGAGTACCATCATTTGTGACTCATTCAGAGCTTACTGGTCATCTCGAGTTTGTTTCCCGCTCTAACAGTCTCTGGCTTCGGTGGTCAGCTTGAGCAGCTCCTGCCAGGCCTGACAGGCAAACAGCTCTCCCGGCAGGCTGTCCATTCTTTCCCCTGGCTCAGCCCATCACCCAGCCACAGTATAAACATTCCTTTCTTTGGTCCACGGAGCCTCTCTGAAAGAGACCCTTTAATTGGAGCTCGATAAAGGGCGCTCGGCCTGCTCTCCCCCCTCCACCAGTCCCATCTCTGCCTCCCCCATCCCCCTCCCCCAGCAAGGGGGCCCTTCACTGAGAGGTCCAGTGATAAACAGGACAGAGGGTCAATGCTAAGACAATCAAAGCCCTCACTAAAGCCCGTCTAATTAAAATAGCTCTGGCTCTGAGGCTCCCCGTGGGCTCTTGAGCAAGGCCTCCCACACCACAGCCTCTTCTGGAGGGCTGAGGAGTAGAGTCTGGTTGGGTCTAAGTGCTGCACTGTCAGCCCCCGTCCCTGAGATTAGAGGAGACATTGTTGGTGGCCAGGCAGCTCACGCAGGGGCTCTGCATTGGCCTGGTATGAGACTGCTATTTAGTAGAAACAAAGCATTTCCCAGAAATTGCTGTGTAAGATGCAAATAAGCACTTGAGAGCGTTTCCTGTTGCTGAAAGGATGCTGCTGTGTGGTACAACTGCCGATTTCACGCACATTTAGCGATTACCTTTAGTAGAATATTAATGTGGATCCGCCAGCATGTTTTAAGGTTCATAAAATGTCAGGCTTTTGCTGTGCATATGAGCTCATCCTTAAGTCTGTATGAATATTCTGGGAGTTTTAAAGATATAGAACTAAAACACAGACTTTAGGTTCATAAATATAGTGTGGGACAAAATTCCAAACTGAATTATAACTGTATGCAAACGTTTGCGCAACTCTGGGTAAGATACATATTTTATAGATTTTTGAAACGAAAAAAAACAAAAACATAAATACAACCTCAACCTTTTAATGTTAACCCACTGATACTTTTTATTTCTTGCATTTAAAAAAAATAGAGAAGGAAGTTGGACGTTATACCATTTGTCTCAGAACTCAATTTACTCGTTAGGCCTGAACTGACTGGTTTACGCATGACAGCAGACGCACACGTGGTTCTGTTCTATACTACAATCGGTGCTTGACGGTCTGCTACACGTATGGTCACATTGCCCCTCGTTTTGAACACAGAAAAATCGACGGGGCTCCTGTGGATGTGTCTGAATGTTGGCTGGGACTTTGCACTTTACAGGATGTAACAGCTAGTTACAAATTGGGCTGCAGAACTGTGTCAATGTGATTATGCCGGAGGTGTCTGGAGCACAGTGGGCTGACTTAACACAGGATTTCTGGAGAATTTAGTACTTCCTGCTGGGCTCAGTCAATGGAAAGCATGTACAAATCAAAGTGCGACAACTGCCTCAATTTCAGCTTCTTTGATGATGAACTCTGAAGGTGCGGATCACCAGGAATCTTTTTGTACAGCCTCGCCTCAAAACAGACAATTGTTTTAAATTTCTCATTTGCAGGATTGCTTTGTATTAGTTTGTGTTTTGATGCACATTTTAGGCAAATCCCGACAATGTGCCAATGTTTGCTGCATCTCAGATTAATAGAAGTTCCTTCTGATACTGGTGTTTATTTCTGGTTCCAATTTTTTTCACCTTTCCAGATTATGCCGAGCCTGCTCTTTCAACTATTGGACAAAAGGTCGGGTCAACATTTAGACCTTCGTCAGATGAGGGCTACACCACCCCCTTCATCTGCAGCCATTACGACACTCCCGGCAACCTCCCAGAATACGCCGAGCCACTTCCTCCAGAGCCCGAGTACGCCACCCCTTTTGGTGATCAGCCTTCAGAGTCCAGCCTACCAGCTCTGTCAGGGATCTCTCACACTAATGCACATGGACCTGCGACATCCGGCCACAGTCAGTATGACTGCCCTTCACACAGGGTGCTGTTCAATGGCTACTGCACTCCTGCTCTTCATGCCAGTGGCCCGCGACCAGTCAGCGTGATCTATGCAGAGCCCAAGTCGTCTGACTCTTTACTACAGAAGCACACATATGAGAAGCCTTTGTGAGCGCATCAAACTCAGACATGTAGAAAAAAAGGCTGTGTGACGGGACCAGAGGAGCACTTGGAGTGATCTCAAGTGGACACTAAGCTGGACAGTGCTGTCCAGAGTGCACTAATGCTTCCAGCAAGTGATGCACCCAAAGTTAAGGAGTCACTTTGGACCTATGTAAGGGTGCACTGCTCAGAGAGCCATATGGACACAAGTATTTCCTACCAGGAAGTATGCAGTAGTACAGATTTGTTTTCTCGTGATGCACAAAGAAAACACAGGCTCGGTCGTGTCTCAGAGATGCTGTTTATTCATGTCACGAGCTGCACTTTCTGAAAACACATACAGAAATGTATGCTTCAGTCTATTTAACAGGTTACTGCAAAAAAAAAAAAGTGGATTGAATATGTTATTGTCCTCACAATGTATAATTTCAACACTTTTGTAAAAAAAAAACAAAAAAAAAAAACAACCACTTAGGAAGCACTATAAAAGGTACACTGTTACAAAGAGTGTTGTTATGATTACATTTAACCACTAGGTGGCTCTCATGAGCTTCAGAAGTCTAACAGTAACAGATTGTGTAATGGTTTGTCTGCTGGTTCTAAGTCTTCAGATAATAGTCACCAAAATGTTAACGCACACATAGTAAAAGTATAAACAAGTTTGTAAGAAAAGGAAATGATCGGATTGTAGTAAATCAGAGAGGCACAACAGGCAAGGTGGTGTCGGGGTTTAGGATGGATGAACTCCGCCGTGATTCAACCGGCTGCAGCGACACACAGAACATACAAACACCAGAGGAAGATTACTTTCCCCTTTGAGGGCTTAAGAATGTCAAACATTTCCAGTATTTGTTTGGCTTTTGTCACTGCACAGCAACTCTCATTCCAAGCGAGAAACACTTAGAAAATTAACTTTTCATTTCTCTACTTAAAATTATATACAAATTCCACTGGATTCTTTTTTTTCTGGGAAATATATGTTTTAAAATGATTAAATTACTTAAACTTAGATGGCATTGCTGTTCACACACTGATAATCTGCTCTAGTGAAAAAAACAGCAGATTTGTCTTTAAGTTTGAAAATTGTACTTTTTTTTTTTCATTTTGTATAATGAGGGGTCAGGCCTCCATTCTATAAGAAAATGTTACTAAAAGCCTCTAAAAATTCACGAAAAGGCTGTGACCAACTCTGTGGTGTCACAATGCAACAAAGGGGGGATACCTCTTTCCACTGCTGAATAAGGCACAATAAAACGGTTGTAACAACAGAAACACCAGGTGGCTTGGCGTCTGATTGGAGCAAGTGGTTTGAGGTTGTTGTCAGACAAAGCTTACACGTGTAACGGCGGCGACAGCTCTGCACAAACAGGAAACCTCAGAAACAGAAAACTTTTCCTCGTCAAATCGTAAATCAGAAAAACCTGTCGCACAAGTCGACCCTGTTGTGACAACAGGCAGGTTTGTGTTTCTGGTTGTAAACTGTGCAAAATCTCTTTTACATCTATTTAGGTGTTACGAAACCTTATTTGAGGCGATATAGGAGCTCTGAAAGAGATCCCATGATGAGTAATGCTTAGTTAACAAATATATATTCCACACAAATGGTACTCTCTCTCTCTACATGTAAAAATGGGTTTACTCTGCAGTTTGGCTGTTATCTACCAGTAACATTAATTCACCCTCATTTACGGTGATTTCCGACTCTCTCATTTGTGCTGAACTCTTTCCTCTGCTGCTCCTCTTCCTCTTCCTCCTCTTCTCTCCCCTCGTGGGAGTAGTGAACCAGAGTCTGGTGTCTGTTCCTGGACGGGGCGTCTTTAAAACGCAGCCCACAGTCTTCACATGCGTACAGAAGCCCCTCTCTGCTCCCAGCTGCTCCTTCAGACTGAGATTTGCGCTCAAACAAGGCAGAGCCAGGATGAGCAGCGATCAACTCTGAAGAATCTCGAGAGCTTGGAGCTGTGTTGGAGCTGTCGTCAGGGCTGTTGGGTGTGTTTAGCCTAACGCTGGTTGAAGGTAAAGTCCTGGGTCGCCCCGGCGGACAACCACGACCTGCGGGTCCTCGATATGCACCTCCAGCTCCTGCCTCCCCACTGGGCTCAGGAGCTAACCCGTGAACCGTGCGGTAGTGGAAGCGGATCCCGGAGCGGTTGGAAAAGCCTTTCCCGCAGATGCTGCAGATGAAGGGCCTCTCTCCTGTGTGGATGCGGGTGTGGATCTTCAGAGCTCCTGACTGGGTGAAACACTTCCCACACTGGCTACAGCGATAGGGTTTCTCCCCCGTGTGGGTCCTCTGGTGGGCCCGGACCCCGGCCAGATGGGGAAACCCTCTGCCACAGAAGCCACAGGAGTACGGCCTTTCACCCGTGTGAATCCGTCTGTGGATCTTCAGAGCTCCCGACTGGCTAAAGCTCTTGCCGCAGTCGGAGCAGGTGTAGGGCCGGGCGCCGGTGTGCACGTTGAGGTGTATGCGGAGGTTGCTGTGCGAGTTGAAGGCCCTGCCACACTCTGTGCAGAGGAAGCCGGACGGTTTGTGAGCGTGCTCAGAGCGCTGATGCTGCAGCAGCTGGGACGGTCGGGAAAAAGAGGCAGAGCAGTGCATACAGGGGTGCAGCGACAGCAGGTTTGTAGCCGTCCTGCCTCTCTCCTCCGGCTGCTGTGTCTGTCTGTGCTGGTGGTGGCAGACCTGGCTGCAGGTGGGGAAGGAGCACTGGCAGGGCAAGCAGGGAAAAGGACTGGAGAGCTGTGAGGAGTGTGAGTGGGCGAGCTGAGGACAGGGTAAGCAGGAAGTTAACGGGCAGTGATGGTGGTGGAAATGATGATGGGCATGGGTGTGAGAAAACGATGAGTCGGCTCCTTCCTGCTGGCTCCGCAGCTGGCTGCAGGTTTGAAGGCCGCGGTGGCAGCACAGGCAGGGGAACATGGAGAACACGGAGCCCGAGGACGCTCTGGAGGTCGGAGCGTCAGGGTTTTGATCTCGGCTCCGAGTTCCTCTGTCTGCGTCGTCGCTCTGCGTTCGGTTGGACGGCCTGCCTTCCAGCTCGGATGCGGTGCTGCTGCTGGGTACGGTGGTGTCTGGTAAACACATGCCGAGGCTCACCGGAGCAGTGCTGCTCAGATCTTTGGGGTGGCAGACTGCCTCTGAGTGAGGCGGCGAGGACAAAGATTGTCTGGATGTTAAAGTCTCAAAAGACAGAGCAGAGCCGGAGTACGGACAGCCGGGGCAGGTGCAGGCATGATGCACATCTAGACCTGAAAGAACAGAAGACAACAGTAAACAATTTTGCACAAAAATAGATAAAATAATGTATTTACTGGCCTGGTGCAAATATTTTATGAACAGAACAGAACACAACAGAAAGATGAATATTTTTAAAGAAATACATATAATAATAAGAAGAAATAATATATTCATCTGTCATTCTAATCTTGCATTAAACCCCTTGAAAATAAGTTAATCAAAAATGTAATTAATTTACTGTTCAGAAAAGTCAGATCCCTTCACTAAAGTCTAAATATTTTTCTGTAACTTGAAGTACTTATCTTTAGTTTCACTGCTGGATATCTGCAGCAGTCATATTGTTGTGTGTACAGCTGTTTCCCACATAGAACATGACCGCTCTAATCATTAGGCTAATATTGACAAGAGACCACAAAGCAAAGAAAACACATTCTATAGTTTAATTGTAAACTGCAACACTTGGCTTGGACCAAATTATTGCAGCAGATTTGCTCTGATTGCTAGTATTATTATTTATTTGGAGTCATGTGCGTTTTTCTACAATGCGGTGTAAAAACAGGATTTATTAGAGAATTGCTTTTATATTACTATTACCTCATACATACATTTTGAGAAGTAATATCCAGGAAGAAAACTCCAGAAACAGAGAAGACACTTTTAAGACGGTACCGACATCTACAACTGAAATAACACCATCGACAGCACCTACTTTTAAAGGAAAAAACCCACGAGTTCATATTTCATATAGCTTCAATGAAGTTAATTTGTGGGTCAAAACTCTGCTGCTCAGTGGAAGTTTTGTCTGTCACCTCTGGGAAGCAGATGTGCACTGATTATTTTTTATTTGGGGTATGTTGTCCATCCATCCATCCATTATCTATACACCGCTTAATCCTTACTAGGGTCTCGGGGGGGCTGGAGCCTATCCCAGCTGACTCAGGGCAAAGGCAGGGAGTCCAAAAACATGTTGAGGTTAATTGGTGATTCTAAATTATCCGTAGGTGTGAATGTGAGTGTGCTTGTTTGTCTGTCTCTAAGTGTAGCCCTGTGATAGACTGGCGACCTGTCCAGGTGAACCTGCCTTCGTTTTTGGACTGTGTGGGAGGAAGCTGGAGAACGTGGAGAGAACCCATGCTCACCTTTTTCCCCTCAACATCAACTGCATCTCATCTTCTGGACCGTATTACCTCAGTATCACTGCCAGCGTTGTTTGCAACTTTTCTATTCGAGTCTTGTTTTATGTTCAGTAACGCATCATACTTATACCTTATTGCTTTTCTACTAGGAACTGCATTTCTTGTTTTGTTTTGTTTTTTCTGAGCAATATCTGGTTTTATCTGGTGTTACGTTTAAAACAAAAATATTGGTAGATAGTGTTGTCCAAGTAGCAGACAGTTTTAAAATGGTTCCTAAAGTGCAACTAGGAAAAAAAATGAATATGAGCATATTTTGATTTTATGGGTCCCACTTTGAAGGCTGGAAAACTAAGTGTAACTAACTTTTTATACTTACTGAATTCATATAATTACTAAACATCTATATAAAATCTTTTTTTTTTTAGTTTTTCTCCAAATCAGAAAAGAAGACCATGTGCATGCTGCAAGTTACTCTGAAATAACCTGAAAATGGGGAATATATCAGGTTAAAGTCGTCAGATTTCTGGGCCCCTAGGACCCCCTCTGCTCAGCTCCCACCTTCTCTCCGGTCTCTGGCCTCCCCTTTCCTCTGGGACGCCCGGGGCTGGATCTGCCTGCCGGGTTCTGACTTGTCCTGGGCGGGTCGAAGTGGCTGAAGAGGTTCCAGTGAAGCAGCTTTGAAGCCCAGAGAACCAGCAGCTGCAGCCGCCACACCCCACGCTGCTGCGTTCAGCACATCTGGCTGGCTTTTGGAGGAGTTTCCAGATGTGATAAGGTCACCGATGAACTGGTGCATCTCCATCCAGGAGCACTGACCAGGCTGAAGAGGGAAGCACCGAGAGGCTGCATGTCAACGCACTCAAGCGCAGGTTACTAAAACTCCTCTCAGAATTAACAAATACAGCGTTGAGCTAAATTAGGAGGAAAAAAGAAAAATCTGTCTCGTTTACTTACAACGTCGCTACACTTGTCTTTGTCCATGAGCGCGAACTAACGACGACTCAGCCGCACTGCGAGGATTTTAATATTCCAGCTTTAATGAGGAAAAAAACAATGAGAGAAACACATAAAATAAAATAAATAAATGCACACGTTTGTTATTACATCACTACACCTCGGCTCCATGTAGCCCAGTTACAATTTCCGGTCACCTGACTTTGTTTTTCCGGGTTTCTGATCATGTGACCGGAGTTGTAGTTCTTTTTCTTTCAAGCGCCGTTTTCTTTTAATCCGGTATTGCAGACAGATGGATTTTAAAGTTGGCATATTTCAAATGAGAATTAATTTAGTAAATCAGCAAATAATAAATTAGATTTAGGTCATTTGCATTCATTTGTCAAATAATTACATTCATGCCTATTTTTGTATTTATATGTAATTTTTATTTGACTGTTCGGTTTCTTCCGGCTGGAAGCGACATAAAAGCGACAAAAGACGGGAAGACAATGTGTTGAAGGCGTTCATGATGAATGTTATTTAATATTTTTTTGAATGCCATGTCCAAAATGATTCATATCCCATTAAAGCATTGGCAATATTTGACAAAATGCAGTTTCTAAATGATTTCCAAATTATTTTGGTAATTTTAGAGCATTCTAATATCCTATAAATTAAAAACAGCTGATGCAGTTGTTCTCTAGTCAGTCAACTGCAATTAGGGTCAACACCAAAAAGGCTCAGTATGCTCCATAGTTTATTATCTGTTAGGGCAAATAAATAATATAAATATTATAATAAATATTCACTACAAATCTAAAATTGGCAAAGGTATTAATAATTTGAGGCCTACCTGTAAATGTGTTTATTTCTATATCCGTAAAAACTCTCTAGTCCCCACAGTTCGTTATGGTTAGACTGAGAGAATCACTTGAAGTATTATGATTGATAAGTTCAGCTACATTTTCCCAAAATTCTGCCATGCAAGAGCCAATGTTTTAGACGTTGGAGTTGTTTCCTTTCTCCGATCAAAACAAAAGTGTGTTAATTTAGTTAGTGAGCACTGCTACAAGGCTCCCTAATTAACTGCTACCAGATCTAAATCCTCTTGCAGGAGAAGCTGTGGGCTCTATTGAGACTTCTGTTGCAATGACAGATGCTGCTGATGAAGAATCTTTGTAAAACCAGGCATTACCGGCACAAATCTGCAGGAACAGTTATTAAATCTCGAGGTATGAACTCCACCGACCTCTAAACGTATGAGGCACCTAGCAGCAGGTCCCGCCATTGATCAAACTTGTCTTTCCAGCACATCCCGCATTTGCTTGATCAGATTGAGATCTGGGGAATTGTGTCATGTTCCTGAACAATGGCTGCATTATTCTGCTGAATAAGGCCATCGGGGAATCCCACTGCCATGAGGGTGTGCACGTGATCTGCAGCAACGTTTATGAAGGTGTCTAAGTAGCATCCACATAAATGTAGCATTCATAGTTTCCCAGCAAAACATTTCTCTCATCAAAGTCACTCTGCCCATTTTCCCAGCTTCAAACAAATCAAGAAGTGAGCGTTCTCTTGCTGCCTGATATATCCCACTCCTAAACAGGTGAAACGGTAATGAGATAATCAATGTTATTCACTTCACCTGACTCTGGTTTCAATGTTGTGGCTGATTGATGTGTGTGGTGCAGCTTAGCAACACGCATTTATGTGTACGATCTCTCTCTTAAAACAAGCACAAGTCAACACTGCAGGTTATGGATGAAAAAGAACTGATGCCAACAAGTTATTGAAGGACCTTGCATCAAGGACAAATGTTTATTTGCCTTTAGAAAAACATCAAAATATACCTGCAGAATGTACAGATTCAGCAAATGCAAATCACAAGGTGACAAAATGTCTTATTATTGATCAGTAGCATCCTAATGAATCCATCAAATATTTCACATAGTACTAAAGGTCAAGTTCCTATACAAAAAAAACCCCCTAAGTATTCAGTTGAAGACTAAGAAATCCTGCGTTTTCATTCAATTATACATGAAAGAAACCAAAAAGATTCTGTTTCTCCACAAGAAAATAAGGAAATAATGTCAGAAACCAGGAAGATTTTTTTTTTTTTAACGCTGAGAGAAACCCTGCACAACATTGCATAGGCGTGGGTCCAGTCCACAAGCCTTACCCATTTTATTAAAAAAAAAAAAAGCTTTAATTAACTAAAGCTTGGAATGTTTTGTTTACAGATGAATGAAAAAAATAAAACTCGTACACCAAAACAAAAATTACAGTAACTGTAGACGCTCTCAGGGTCTATTCATACGAGTGGCAAAAGTAGTTGGAGGAAAAATCCTGACTTATCATCAAACCGTATGATGGTGGATTTACTAACTAGACAGAAATGTATACAACATTCATGAGTATATAATTCTGGCTGTGTAATATCACCTCCACATTTGGTTTAAGTGGCTATAGATAGAGTAAAATGGAGTGTGCTTCTGTTGCAGAGTCGGGAATGTGAGCATGATTCTCTTTTTCTCTCCTCATTTTGTTTCATGTCTCCATATCAGCACAGACAGGGTTTGAAATGTCAACTTCCATCTTAATCTCTTTGTCTGGCTGACAGTCTTTCAGTTGTCTGGTTCTGGATAAGCACAAATCGAGACCAGCACCAGGTGACTGAGGCTCACTCTTTATATCCATTATTGGTCCAGATGATGCCGTGTCAGCATGAAGAGAGGAGACTTTTAACCGCTTCTCCTCGGTGTACGTGTCTGTCTTTGTACTGTGGTTTTTAAATTCTTGCCTCCCAGTACCATTAACCTGCCCTGAAATTTCACACTCTTCTGGCTCACTTTTAACAGGAAGAAGAGGAATGTTGGTCGGCGCAGACTCGGACGAGTTGCGCTTCTTAGACAAATCCAGAGGTGCTTCTGGATCCTGTTTAATCCCGGTTACGAGATCCAGGGGGGCTCCGAGAGCAGCTTTCAGTCCAAGGTTGCCTGAAACAAGCGGGGAGGATGCTTGCGGCAGGGCTTGCATAGCTGTAACAGGTAGAGTCTGAGGGACTGCAGACGGGAGTGGAAGCCCATTGGTTGGAGTCGGACAGACAGGAACAAACACGACGAGTTCGACTCCAGGAGGCGGCTGTTTGTTGAGGGTTAGCTTCCAAACCCCGTCTGATGGAGCGGAGCCAGCGGACACACCCGCCGTCACAAGTCCTGGACTGCTGCAATCCTGAACTGGTGCAGCAGGGTTGGTTGAAACAACAGCAGGCGCAGCGGCCATGTTTGACGAGTCGGGTTTTGCTCTGGGTCTTTTCGCCTCGGGTAAAGAGCTCTTCGAGGTCTGCCGTTTCTTGGGAGCGCTCTGGAATGGCAAAGGCAATGAAAACGTCACGGTCATTTGACGAGCAATACAAAAGCGTCACATGCCAATCTGCAATAAAGTAACACTGTCTCATCTGCACATTAAATATGAAGCTTCCTCCAGTAGTCAACTAGCTTAAAATACAGACTGAAAATGGGGAACAGAGCTTGTCTTGCTTGATGCACAGTTAAACTTTTCTTCATTACAATGCAATGCATTCCTTACGGAGGTCCAAAATGGTCAACATCTAATATAATATATGGTGTCACCTGGCGACCCCAGTAGAAATGAGTGAGTCTACCTGTGTACAAGTATCCTGATTATAATTCAGTGTTTTTTCTACTATTCTGGTTTTGCATTGTTTCAGTAACCTGGATATGGCAGCTTGTTACAAACCCGGGATACTGTGGCATGCTATTTTGGTTCCTGAGCATTTTTGTTAGAACAGCACATGGAAAAAATCCAGACACACCTACACAGAGATGACCAAAAACCTGACTCAGACTGATCCCTGCAGGCACATGAATAACCAGGTTTCTGGTGTTGCTGAAAACATCTTGCAGCAATCGAAAGATCAAAACCAGAATAAGACACAAAACTGAGCACACATGTGAACGCGCTCACAATCACTGAAGCATGCGAGTGTGTCTGCATGACAGGAGGAATATCTGCTGCGATGGATAACATCGTTAAATACTGCAATGACAAGATGATCTGTGATACATGAACAAATGCCGAAGTATGTTAGTTATACAATCTTTCTGCTTTAATAGGTATGCTGCTAATAGAAGGGCCAAACATTGGATAGTCTATGTCAGGGGTGTCCAATCCTGGTCCTCGAGGGCCACAGTCCTGCATGTTTTAGATTTTTCCCTCTTCCAACACACCTGATTCAAATGATCAGGATCGTTATCAGGCTTCTGCAGAGCTTGATGATGAGCTGATTATTTGAATCAGGTGTGTTGGAATGGGGACACATCTAAAACATGCAGGACTGTGGCCCTTGAGGACCAGGATTGGACACCCCTGGTCTATGTCCACTTAATGAAGACATTAAATTAACAATTTTGTGCACTTGACTGAACAAATTGCACACAAATACTTCAACAGAACATTCCCACTACAGATAATGAAAGGAAATTGAAGTTTAATTTTTCCCTGGCGCTCCTTTTGACACGTTTTGATCCGAACTCAACAAAAACATGAACGATTTCCTCGATCTTCTTTACTTCATGCTAGCTAACCTTGCACTTGTCAACAAATTGGCACAAATTTATCGAAGCATGATGGCTAACTGGGGCTTCATGCGATTGGCCAAATAATGTAAATACAATTGGATAACATTCACATCACACACGGTACTGTTCTTATTCACTGCATTTCCGGCAGCCCTTTGCAATGTGTTAATTGCACATGTTCATATCACGTATGACTTAACTTTCAACAATACATGTGAACACCTGATCCAAGCTTCTGATCTTTTGCACAGAAATGAAGGACTGACGTGTTAAGAAATCGAGTCACACCTGCACACAGAAACCTGTATAGTGGATACAGGAAGTTCTGTTCAAATTTCATGCCCCAAATAATAATCAAAACCAAGGCAGTAATTTGCATGTAAACTAAGTCACTGGAAATAAATGAATTGTATAAATTTTGCACTTCCTATTTCAAAAAGTGTTTAAAATCTACAACCACTCGTCCAAACATGCCATCAGTCTAACAGCAGATGAGGCTACCTTCATGTACAGGGATGGATTATCTAGCCCGACTCATTTTCATATCACTGCGATTTGACTCTCAAATAAAGTCGATTCATTCAACGTTTGTGCTGAACTTAAAGCTTCAGCTGCCTGGAACGTAGGAAGTCTGCACAGCAGTGTAAAGCATGATGTCAAATGTAGTCTAATGCAGTGGAGGTTCAGCTCTTAGGTCAACATAATGTCCTACACTCACCACAGTCGGAGGTGTTTGTCCGCAGGTCTTCAGGTGGCTGTCGTAGTTCTGCTGGTGGGGGAAGCCCAGCCCACAGCTCTGACAAAGGCAGGGCGACTTGCCAGCGTGACCGCCCATGTGGGACATTAGCAGCAACGCCGAGCGGAACCCCTTCCCACATTCAGCGCACTTCAACACCCTCTGGTGAGCCCCGGCATGCTTCTTCAGCTCCTCCGAGGTGTCAAATCTCTGTCCGCACTCCAAACACCTGATCTCATCCGTCGTCACGTTCCTCTCCTGGTTGCCCCAGCAGCCTGTGTCCTTTTTGTGCTGCTGGAAGTCCTCCTGACTGAGAAACTCCCTCAGACACGCCACGCAGTGAATGCGTTCGGGTTCGCACTTGTGCTGGCGGTACAGCTTAGCCAGGCGGAAGTGGCGGCGGCATCGGACGCAGGTGTACGGCAGCAAACCCAGATGGGAGAAGCTGTGTTTCAGGAGAGCGTTCTTCTTGGTGAAGGTCTTTGTGCAGTCTGTGCATTTAAAATTGCGATGGCACGATTTCTTCAGGTGGCGCGCGAGGGATTTTGGAGAGGAGAAATTGCGGCCGCACACGTCGCACACGACGTTCAGCATACATTTGTGTAGCTGCACGTGATTTTCACAGGCCTTCAGGGAGGTAAACACGCGCTTGCAAAGGTCGCACTCGTAAAACTCATCCTCGAGGTGTGTTCTCGACAGGTGTCTGTTCAGATCCTCCTGCGCTGGGAAGCTCACCAGACAGATGCGACACTGGGGGCGATCCACCTTGACCAGGGCGTGTGTGCGCAGGTGGACGCGGTAGTTATATATCTGACAGAAGCGCTTCCCACATTCTGCACAGCAGTACGGGCGCGCTCCTGTGTGCAGGTTCATGTGGTCTTGGAGCTTGAATTGGGAGGGCAGCTGGAGATCGCAGATGCTGCAGCGGTAGTCACCTGAATGACCCGACTCTGGGGGACAAAGAAGGAAAGTCAACCGATGAGAGAAGATCATAAATGAAAATGTACACTCAGTAGGAAGGACTACATCTTACATCAGGAGTTACATACACTGGTGATAATAAAAGCCATGAAAACTTCCAAAACACGTCCATGTTTGATTCTTTTTTTAATTTCCCTTCTGTATCTGAGGCACTCAGCACTTAGCCCAGTTGTTCCTATTGCACAATACATTTTTAACGAGGTTTTTATTTGAAAAAAAAGACTAAAAACGTAATCATTTTTTGTTGCTCTCTTATGGTCAAATTTTCCAATTTATTTTGGCTATATGCACATATTTTTTCCACCTAATTGCAGAGAGCACCAGGTCTCTCCTGCAGTGAAACTATCATATTATTATGCCTAAGTTTATCATGAAGGCTCTAATGGCAGGTGCAGACAAAAACACAATGCTTTTCAAATGTACATATTCACCAGACAAAAAAAAAAGAAGACAATGTCCATGTAAAATGTGCCATATTCAATTTTATGTACCATTTTGAAACAAACCTGTAAACCTTAAATGTGACAGGTGCTATCTCTCTATCAGTGTTGAATTTGGGCCAGTGCCAATATTTCATTTTACAGTCATACTGATACCGATGAAGTGCTGATATCATCCTTCGTGTGCAGCTCGTGAGTCAGTAAAAATGTGCCCCAACAGACAACAGGAAATGCAAGATGCTATCATTTTGCTGCGTATGTACTCGTATTACAAAGTAAGAAAATGCAGTTTCTGGAATTTTTGCTGTTGTTTTGGGTAAAAGTGGCGCAGATCATTTAAATCTTTGTGCTTTCATTTGATGTATAATCAGGCTTATACCTTTCAAAATACAACAGCAGCATTTTCCCCTGACAGATATTTGGGCTGGTGAGCGTTCACACAAATAGGCGACAGATTTAGGATTACAGTGGCCAGGTTTATCATGAACAAATGTGTCACTTCATGTGTTTATAGGAGTTCTGAGGCAACAACTGAGCCCTACAAAAAAATATAAGCTGTATCAGACTTTGGCTGCACTGTTAGTACTTGATTGTTTGGATCTTTTTGTGACAAAAAGGAAAATAGCACACACTTAAAAAAAAAAAAAAAAAAAAAAACTGTATCCAAATGCTTATATTTGGCAAATTGGCCTGACTGACTTTATTTGTGCTGCACCTTTTATACACTTACAGGAACACATACTAGCATCACTACAGATTAATACTATTGACTGAACCTTAATTTTAAGATTCTTCTATTTATTTAAAACCAAGCATGTGTTGACACCTTAGCACAGCACTTTAAAGCTCTCTTTTAATCAAATGCTCCTCCTCCATTGATATTTTAAGAAAAATCTCCAGATGTGCATGTTTTAATGACTTTTGGTTGCACTTAGTGGTCCTACTATTTGAATATCCATCCATCCATCCATTATCTATACACCACTTAATCCTCACGAGGGTCGCGGGAAGGCTGGAGTCTATACTATTTGAATATTTTCTATTTATTGTGTTCTAGAATTTAATCTTCCCGGTTTGTCTCTTTTCAGCATTATATTTTTGACTTATATTTTGATTTTGCAAGTGTTAACTAGTTTTCTGTCTTGCTTTTTTTGCACATATTTTTCTTGTCACCCGCCTTATAACATGTACAGCATTTTGGTTGTTTTAAAACAACCTGATTAACCCAGTTATCTGATCTGAGTGCACGTGTGTTATTATACTAACACCACTTTGTCATACCATTGCTTATTCCTTCCTCTTCCTCATCGTCTTCCTCGTCGACCTCTTCTTCCTCGTACACATCTGAAACTTCGCTGTCATCCGAGTCATCGTCCACATCCTGCTGGCCCTCCGCTGATCCCTCTTTGGCAGCGTCTCCGCCACCTTCCTGACCGTCTTCGTCCTGTTCGGACATCAGCTGGGGACTGTCTGTTCCAGCAGTGGGATCATCTCCTGTCGGCTCTGACTGTTCGGTCCCGTTGACAGCTGCCTCGTCTTGTGGACTCTGTGTAGGATTTAACTGTTTACCGGGTGACGTGTCGGCCAGAGGTGCTGACACATAAACCACTGTGTTTTGTTGGGTGTTTGAGGTCAGTTTTGCGGTACTTGCCTCCTTCCCATCTCTGATCAGGTGTCTTTGTTTGTGTGCAGGTGATAGGGAAGTGGGGGTGTGACTGGGTGAGTCAGCGGGCGATGAGGGGCGACATGGTGTCTCCCTGTCCGAAGCCTCCTGGGGCTGCAGGATATCTGGGAATCCCAACTCTGTCAGCTGGATATCAATGGTGTATTCAATGGACATGACTGCTGGCTGAGGCAAACAGAGAGAGAGACAGGGGTTCTGTTACCATTTGATATTTATAGCATCAGACGTTAAATTGAGGCTTATTAATAAACTGCACAAATAATATTGTCACAAATATTCCCATACCTGTCGACATCTGTGTAAGAATTTCTTCTCTCTTTTTAACGTTTCCAGCAATCTTCACGGGAATCCCATTCTGACACACCTTACAGCGCTGTTGGCCACCTCAGCTCACCTGGCAGGAGGGAGGGATGATGACAAAGCGTGGCTGCACCACCTTTACCTTCGATGTTAGCTGCTTTTATTAGCACGAAGCTAATGAGAAACGCACTATGAGCGACAAAAACACGAGAGAATTCGCCGCACACGACGTTTAAACAGAGCGTTTAGAATGAAGCAGCTAGCTAGCCGCACACTCACTCCAGCCGAACATCGGTGTATTGGAGAGGACAAAAAAAGGAAAACAAATGAAGCAGCACAAGGGGGGTAACAGCGACGCTGGCGACGTAGCGCTCCTGGTGTCTGGGAGTGGTATTACAGGTCACAGCCGCAGCACACGTGCGCATGCGCATATTAATGTGACGCGCTTCTTCACTTTTCTTTACATTTGAACATTATCAATCAATCAGACTTTATTTCTATAGAACATTGCATACAAACAGAAATGCAACACAACGTGCTTTACAGATAACGAATAAAGACACAATACAACAATAGAAACAACTACCCCATCACCCCCCTCTGTCAAATGATCGATAAAGGAGATAAACATAACAATGGTTATACAAGGTAAAAATAAGGTATATTTAAGTATTGTATTTAAATATATAGACAAGCATAGTAAATAATATCAGCATTGCCAAGGCTATATAGGAAGGACATTCCATTTTTTATGTATTAAAAATAAAACTATTAAGAAAGGCGCTAATATCGTGTTCTCTTTAAATACGGAGTGTGTCTAAGTATGCAAATCATGTGATCAACACAGACAATCTTTCCCGAAGATAGATGAGAGAACAAAGACAAAAAGTCGAGTTATTTCTTCAGCAGCCTCCCTTGGGATAGCATGATTTATTACATTTTTGCAGTGTCCAGACACATTGCAGTGGGGAGAGAAACAATCCAATCAGTGAATAACACATGATATACACAGTTCCTTGTGGGATTCTAAGGCATTAAAGAGCCACAAGTCCCATTTAAGAAATGTCTAAGACATGAGCATTACTTTGATAAGTGAAAAAATAAAGGAGTACATTTGTAGCAGAAAGACAAATCAGGATTATAGTGGATCTTTTCTGCCCACATGCCAGAACACTCCAAATTGAATCTGGAGCACTTAGCCAAAATAAAATTTAGCAGAACGCAATCATGTTGTTTTAAAAATCTTCCTCAATGAGACTTAATTTAGAAAGTAACATAATCAAAATATTAACTGTAAAAATGCACAATATGACCCAGAAGCTGTACATAACACATTTCTTTTGACAAACTGTCTACACATTCCAACATAGTATCTTTACTAGGCGACTAATTTACTTCAAAATATGTACTTATCCAATCTGTTTGGAAAAAAAAGAGGAAAAAAAAAACAAGATAAAAAAACATTTTTTAAACCACAAAGTGAGTTGAAGAACTCAAGACACCAAGTAATAAATTCACACCAAACGCAGTTCACACTAAAAAAAAAAAAAAAAAAAAAAACTCAAATCATTTAAAAAGTTAATCAAAACAGTATGTCTTTACAAATAAACTATGTTTCATGAAAAAAATGGTGTAATAGATGGATTTAACATTTGGTTAGTCAATTTAGGAGATGCGTCGGTTTGCGGTTTGTCAAACATTTCAACAGCTCATCATCAAACTCGGCTTTAAATCCAAAACTCGCTAAAATGTCATTCTCCAAACCATTTCCAACTCATCTGGAACAACAGCTGGAGTATGAGATCTCCATGGTTAAAAGAAAAAAGGACAATTCATGACTAAAATCTTCAAAAACCATACACTTTCTGCAAAGTCCCCACATCTCAATTATCTCTTTGCACTTGGGTTTTCAGGCTTTTCCTCCGGGTGGCTTTTCTGGTGAGCTTTCAAGGTGCGCTCACGGCCAAAGCTCTTCCCGCAGGTCGGACAGGCGAAGCGGCCGACGGCGTGAGCCCGCGACATGTGGGCGTCCAGCTGCTCGGGACGGGCAAAGCTCTCTTCACATTCTTCACAGGGATGAGCTTTCCGCGGGGCGTGTTTCTCCTTCTTGTGAGTGCGGAGCTGAATCAAGCCGGGGAATGTGAGGTCACATTCAGAACAAGGGTGCTGACGGGCCGGAGCCAGATCTACTTTAGGTTTCTTCTCCTTTCCTGGAGCTTCACTGTCATCCTCAGGACTTTTCTTATCTTCTGTATCTGATTTTGGTGCTGCTTTAGAAGGACGGCCTCGCTTAGCTCCACCTGCTTTGCCTTTTTCCTCTGCTGGGGTTGCTGCTGGCTCTGATGTGCTGCTGGCCTTCACTGCCTCCTCAGACACCTCGGCCTCATCCTTCTTTTTCCGCTTTCCCTTTTTCTCAGCGACGGCTGGGTCTTCGGCTTTGGCTGGCCGTCCACGTTTCTTGATGGCCGAAGTGCTGCCGTTGCATTGCTGACCTTCAGGGTACTTCTCCTGGTGCGCTAAAAGCTCGGATTCAGCTTCAAATCCCTGACCGCACTTCTTACAGCGATGGGTTTTTGAAGGGTCCTCCGGCTGTTCTGCAGTCTCTACATCTGGGCGGGGATGCTGGGTCAGGCGATGAGCACGCAGCAGTCCAGCACTCCGGAAGGTTTCATTGCAATCTTTGCATACCATCTGTTTCTCCGGACACACCTGTCTTCTATGGGCTGTGAGCTACAGAGGGTAAGAAGCAAGAAGTTAAACAGAAATATAAAATACAAACATGAATTTAACTAATATTTAAAGCTAGAAAAGAACCAAAATTGCTCAAAAAGCAAAGATTTTCAAATACACCCCATTCCCATTGCTGAGGTTTGATACTGCCAGTGATGCATTTTCAAGTGACTTTTAAAAAAAATAAATATTATACTCACTTCGGAGAACGTCTTAAAGCTCTCCTTGCAGTGAACGCATTTGAAGGGCTTGTCATCCTTGCTGTGTGTTGGCTGGTGCTGCGTCAATTCCTCAGAAGACAGAAATGTGCGGTCGCACACGTAGCATGTGAACAGTGTGTTACCCTGTGAAGAGACGATGAAGAGGAGCCAAAGTTGAAACAAATTGAGAACAAAGGTTATTAAATTCACTTTAATTAACAAAGAGAAAGGATGTTACTGACTACTACAACAATAACAATGTCACAGCTAATCAATACACATAAGACACACACTCAAACGTCAAACAAATGTCAGAAAGCTATCTGGGTTATTTGTGACAATTTTATTAACTTTACATCAATATAGAAAAAAAATGACAGAATTTGACAGACTGTACCTTTAACATGCTGTTTGTAATATTGGGTGCCTCAAAAATAAAAACCTGCTTCTTTAAGTATACAAGTACTTTGAAGCATAGAAACTCATCACTCAGTACAATCAAGTAGGGCTGGGAAGATTAATCAAATTACAGATTAAACACTTAATTTAGGTACACTTTGTCCTATACTTGAATTTAAATGAATGACACAAACTCACCATATCTTACTAAGCGAAGACAAGGTGAATCTTACCTGCTGAAGCTGTTGCTTATATTCTTCTCTGTGGCTCTTCTTCATGTGCCTTTCCTTGGCTTTGGCACTGCAAAATGTGATGAAGCACTGGAAACACTGCAGATTTTCATGCTGGTCTGAAAGCACAAAAGAAGATCAGAAAGTTTTGTTTTGTTGCTTTCAGGAAACTGAGTTCAACGTGTGACCACTGCACCACTTACAGGGTTGAACAGTGGATGCTGGAGGTCCATTCAAGGTGATGGGTTTGTACGGTTCTGCTGGCTTTTCGGGGGGAACTTCCGGAGGAGGATCTGGCAAGCCCCTTCCCATCACTATCTCCTCTATGTTCAAAATTTCTGAGTCCATCCTGTGATGCTGGGTGGTCTGAACAGGCACTCACAACAGTTTTCCTGGATTTAGGTACAGAACAAAACAGAAAAAAATTAATTAACTAAAGAATAAATGGAAATAAGGCAAGCGTGATCAACAGGTAGAACTGCAACGATTAATCAATTAACTGTCAATTATTAAATCAATTGCCAACCACTTGGATAATCAATCAATAGGTTTGAGATTTTCTTTGTCAAAAAAGGCAAAATCTCTGATTTCAGGCTCTTGAAATTGTTTTTTTTTTCTGGGTCCTTTACTCATGTATGACAGCAATAAAATATCTGTGGGCTGTGGACACAAGACATTTGTGGACGTTAAATTGGGTTTTGGGGAACTCTGATCGAAATCATTTCACGATAGTTTATAGAACAAATAACTACTTGATTTATCGATTAAACAACCGACAATGACAATATTAGCTAGTTGCAGCCCCATTAACAGCGGGTAACATAACACCGTTAAAATCCCACAGATGCGATCATTTACGTTGAGAGTCACTTATATTCAACAAATCACAGCAATAAAAAACGCACTTCTAGATAGACTGAGGTAAACAATTCAAAAACAAAAGTTTAATGAATCCACAACGTCTTTATCCAAAGGTTTTTTAACTACTCGCCAATGGGAAACACTGAAGTTTAAGCTAATATTGGCTAACGTATCGTAAGGCCGCTAGCTAAGCTAACTAGCGCCATGCAAGCCTACAAGCACACGAGTTCTAGTTACCTGAATAAAATGTCTTTAGCGGATCTAGCGGGTAAACTGGAACCGTTTGCACACCGGGTAACTGCTTCAGTTTAGTATCTGTGCACGGAGCTAATCACAAAACACCAGGATACTTGAGCGGGCTAACGCTAGCTGGCTAGCTTGGCACTGGTTAGCTAGTTAGCGCTAACAACACTGGCTGCCATTCAAAGAGCACCGCAGACTTTTCGCTGCCTTTTCAAGTTTTGACTCGCCGCCTGGCGCTTACATGCATCTGCCGCGAAAAAAATGTGAGCCACGTCGGTCCCTATACAGAGTGCAAACAGATTAAATCACAATTTCAGATTTGAGTGGAGGCGTACGTTACCACTAACCGCTCTTTGAAGGTAGTTTGACTGAGAGAGTTGACCCCGCAGAAGTACAACCAATAGATCAGACACCTCCTTATGTGCGCTGGTAGCCGTTGGTACAACTAAGATGGCCGCTGGGGAGACTTGGGTGTTGTTATTTATTTATATTTAGACAGAACAACCTAATATCAAATAGAAATTAGCAAAGTTTTTCATTACAGCGCACCACTCTGCATCGGACTCACTAAAGAAACACAAGCGTTTATTAAAAACGACGCACATGACTTCAATAGTTCTACACTGTACACTCGTATTATAATAGCAGATTTTGTTTCCTAAATGTTACCCTTTGTGTTTTAAAATACTGGCTTCACTTAGAGAAACAGCTACAGCGCTCAGAAACTCTGCAGCTGCACCTTTATAGATGTAAATTTGAACTCATCCTTTCTAGTCAGTGTGATTCTATGTGTGATCTTTGTCACGTGACGCACAACAACTTGGAGAAAAGTGCTTTTTGTGATTTTATCCAAACAGCTGCACATTAATACCACCAATAGTTTAACCTGTAGTCTGTTTTACAAAAAAAAACTCCTAAAGCAAAATCTTTTTAAATCCCTGAACCACTGTAAATACTGTATTTTAAACTATATTTTGCAGAGCTGTTAATATTTCATAGCAGCAACAATGCCTATCTGCTTTATGTGGTGTCTGTACACCAGCTGCATGTTTATTAAAAATAACTGTGTTTATTTCTATCATTGACATATCTACAATTTTACTTTAAACAGCGATGCATGATGGTTCAACTCTCGTTTTTGTTTCTTTATGCTGTTGTTTTACATCCATTTGTGTTTTTACTGTAAACACTTTGAAAGCAAAGAAAACAGAGCTGAGTCAGATTCCTTGTATGTGTTTACTGGGCCAGAAAAGCTGATCCTTCATCTTCTGCTTCATTTGTAGCGTACAGTTAAGTCCCAAATTACTCACGCACTTGGCAAATTTTGCATTACAGTGAATTTATATACGACCAATATAGATAATATATTGCATTTTGGCTGACAATCACATGAACACGACAAAACATGGTACCACATTGTGTTAAAGATGTTAATGAGGAATTTTTACAGTTGCTATTTCTGACCTCTTAAGACCCGAGCTCTTGTTTGATATGCTTTTTTTATTTCTCTTTGCTATTTGATCAGATCAAATATAAAATTAAAAATATAAAGAAAATAAATATATATTTTAAAAAATATATACAATATATTTTTATATACAAAATATAAATGAAAAATAAATAACAATAATAAAATTTAAAAGAATTAAAAATAAAAAAAATTAGCTATTGTGGTAATATAACCCAAAATGTGATGTCCACGCGTGTGGACGCCAGGTCTTAAGAGGTTAAGCTTTTTACTGAAAACACTTTGTCCAAAATTATTCTTAGTAATCTTAGCAAAGTCTTTATTTGTCACCACATCAATCAACTAGTTCTTATTCTTACAAACAGTCTTTCTGAATGTCTTCACTGGGATTTCGTTCCAGAACTGATGAGCAAAAGCTTTCTTCTTGGACTCGTCGCCTGCCTTGTCAGCAGCCACAGTGTGGGGCTCTCTCTGGATGATGGACCCTAATAGCAGCTCACTGCCTTGTTTTGTTTTAGATTTGACTTGCAGTTGGCTGATAACGGACTAGAGAACCACTGCATCAGCTGTTTTTCAGTTTTCAGTGTATAGGAAAGCTCGAGAACATGTTACAAATGAACACTTCCACGTGAAATAGTATTGAAGCTGTATTTTATTTTATTCTTTTAAATTGCAACTATTTCCAATGGTATGAATACTTTTGAATATGGCGTTTTGAGCAAAAGAGGTAAAATTTATTATAAAAATCGCTTACTGAATGTCTCGCCCTCTTTTCACACCCGTTCATGTAGTTTCTGGTCAGAAGAAAATAACTGATCTAACAAAACATTCATTATAAATCTACATTTGGCAGGGGAATGAATAATTTTGGGCTTAACTATACATGCACAATCTATTAGTAGAAGGTTCTGAACAATGACTGCAGGATTTATTATCTTATATGCATACAGCATACCTCTTTGTATGAGTATATATTTATTGTACATTTATGACACTTCTACATATGATTAGGAATGTCACTTAAGAGCAGTTTTACTACACATTGGCAAGAATGGCTCTTAGTGACCGTGCAATTTTTCCTTTTAGATGAATGAGTGTATTTTTTTATATGTCCCTACAGGAAAAGCACATGTGTGAATGAGAAAATCAGTGACGGATTAGTTTCACTGAGCTGTTTCAGGTTCAAAATTTTAGGTATTATGCACTTATTGTTGCAGAGTCATCCCTCACTGGGACATTTGAAGAAAAAAAAAAAAAGCATCATTCAGGTTACTGGTAATGAAATGTTGGGGAAATGTGTTGGTGCAAACATTACTTAATATGACTTCCTTTTTTTTAAAAAAATCAATGAAACATGATTTCTTTATCTGTATTTTATTGTTTTCTGAAATTCAAATAAATAATGTTCAAATTCATAGAGCCCCAAAATAAGCTCATCATGAAATGTAAACTAGATCAGATTAAAATTAACAGTAAAAAAAAAAGCATCATGGTTCCCACAATGTTAAAATAATAATTTACACTTCTCTTGCAGCACAGTTTATGGCTATGAGTCTTTTTACATTTCCTTCTAAAAGGCAAATTCTTTTTTTTTCTTTTTCTTTTCTTAAAATGGCTCAATGACATAGTACGTCACATTACACAGCATTTGTTCAGTTTTTTTGATACAGCATCACAGAAATATTACAAAAGAATGACACTGCCAGAGAAAGGCATCATGGGAAAGTTGTAAGGACAGTGGAGCTGAGTTTACACACACCGAAAATACAGTTACATTCTAAATCAGAAAGCAAAGAAATAGAAGGTAAAGTCTGTCGGGGACACTACTCTTTTCCCAGACTCCCTTGGTTGTGGAAGTTCAAAAAGCAGTTGTGGCTGCGTGAGATACAAAGAAAGACGCAGCACTTAAGGCATAGCACTCGTGACGTTCTCTGACAATCCCCAAATCGACACCTTCCCCCCTCTCCCTCTGCAAGCTGCTCTGGCCAGTGGCCCGAACCATCGTACCGCGTTTCCACATCTGGCAGCGGACTTTCCTCCACCAGGACGGGGTTGGGAGTTTCATTTGTTGCTTGAGCCTTTTCTGCGGGGGGTTGAGGCGGAACTGAGTCCTGGGTATCAGAGCCGCTGGAGAGGATCAAAGCCTTGGACACCTCCAGCCTGAAGGCCATGAGAGTCAAGGGTGCAGGTGAGTCCTGCCGGTGCAGCAGCCAGGAGTTCACCAAAGCCAGATCTGTGAGGTACCAGAGCACCGCTTGGGGCCAGCAGGTCGGCGCCGAGGCGGTGAGGGGGATGGAGTAAAGGTTCTGCAGATCTCTGTTGAGGCGAGCCGACATCTGGGCCTTCTCAAAGCTGCCGGTGAGAGAGGCCATGCTCCTCCGGTTATTCCCGGCAGTAGAAAGTATGAAGCCGCAGTGTGATCTGCGCAGCATCAGCTTCCCGTCCGAGCTCACAAACTCATCCCCGATCTGTCCTCGTGCGCCCCCCACCCGGCCCGCTCCATGAACCCCGGCGACTAACAGGCGCTCGAGCATTGCGGGGGTGGAGAGCTCCTGTTTGCAGAGGAACACCGTGCTGCCTTTGGGGACCATTTTCTCCACAGCATCTTCTTTGTCTGAGAGATCCAGTTTGAGATCCACGTGTAGGAGTAAACCGCCAAATCCGATTAACGTAGTGCAGTGGAGAAACAGCTTGTTGTGCATCTTCCCAGTCAAAGGAAGCGGATATTGGTCAACTGCATAATCGCCTTCCCGTCTCAGTGACTGGCACGCTGCTTTGAAGCGGCACAGCAACGGCTGAACCTTCCACAGAGGATCAGACTGCGTTTGTGAACTGTTCGAGTCATTTGCAGCTCGACATTGATCGTCACTATGCTGAGGAATTACACTTTGCCTGTTTGGGCAAGTTGTACCTTTCTGTGCATTCTGAAAATCACTATCACGTGTTTGTTCATGGCTGTTGGCAGGATCCTTTGAAGTCAGCTTCAACTTACGAGACAGCTCGACGAAGCGTGACAGCGGCATAGCTTCAGCAATCAAGGACACCTTCGTCAAATCCTCCCAGTAGAGCTTCGGACTGGGAAACTAAAGCATAACAGCAAACCAAATAACATTTAGTGGGATTGCTTCAAGCTAATTATTTAGAAAATTAAATGGGAATACAAACCTTCAAAGTTCCCATTGCGATGTGGATGCCAACAAAGCATGCGACCTCTCTGGCTGTGACTGGATAAGGCATGTTGGATAATTTATTTGTGCAACTGGCAATTTCCACCCAGGTATCCCAACCAAAATATTTGGTGAAGTAATCAATGGGCTCTCTTGTCCTGTTTTCACCTCGTAGTGCTTGGAGCTGGCTCGATGAAGATGGCAAACTGTGGGAAAAAAATGTAAAAAGCATAACAAGCAAATGAAAAAAAAAGTAAAAACCTAGACTTCATCATAATTTAAAAATATTTTTAGTTATAATTATTTCTGCACAGTTTGACTGTATCATAGATTTCTCATAAAATGATATTTCCACATGTTTTATCTGGGATCTGTGGAAGCTTGTAGACTTTAAAAAGGAAGTTTTATTGTACTTTTGTGAGGTTTGATCCGGCTGTTGTGCGCTGCTGCTTTGCTTCTTGTAGAAATAGGTCATTAGTTCTGCTTCTGAATCGAGCTGAGGATCACACAACTCAAAACCTCCCGTGTCTTCTTCATCAGAACTCTGGAGGAGGAAGTCGCGGAGGTCTGGCGGATGCTGCCACTCAGAGTCCGATGCAGCTGAAAGACCAATTATTATGTAGAGATGAAACATCATAGGTATGATAAACATTTCTAATGAATAGCTTAAGAACGTTACTCAAGTAAGTAAACCAAACCTTGTCCATCTGCAAAGTCGCTGACCCCTGGTTCTGACAACAGACCTCTGACTTTTGTTTCCTGGTATTCGGTTGCAGAACGGCTCCCTTCATCTGTTTGAACAGAGCCGACATCAAAATATTGGTCTTCCAATAATGTTTACTAATAATATGAATGGAAAACACAATTACTCACGCATATCACAATCTGCTGCTGCTGCTTGATGTTCTGTCTGATTTGCATCGCTGGACCCCTCTTGGGTTAAACTCCCTGTGCTGGTCTGAGGGGCTCCCAGGAGAACCTCCCTCTCCTCCTCCTTCACCGGGTAAAAGATGCACTGGTTGGTGTTGAACTCTGGAGTGATGCGACAGTCCTGCGTCGTCTCCTCACTCTCCATTACTGAAAGTCCAAAAACGAGATCATTATCCATCCATCCATCCATCCATCCATCCATCCATCCATCCATCCATCCATCCATCCATCCATCCATCCATCTCTTCCCAACACATTGGCCTATTTCCTTACCACTCGTTTTCTGGAAAGTCTAAATCATTTATACCACGGAAATGAAGAATTAAAACAGATTTTTCTGTTGATTGCACATAGTCTACATTTTAGGAAATACCTTTATTCAATTTCTTTTCTATGAGTTGCAGAAATTTCTATCACTCTTATGTCTGCATGAAGTACAGAGCTGGTGTCACAAGGTGATTAGCCTGGTTTAGCATAAAGACTGAGAACAGGGGAGCAACTCATATTACGAGTTTATCCAAAAGTTTAAAAAGATCTGCTTACAGGCCAGGGTCACAGTACAGGAGTCCCAAAATACCAACAGATCTTGCGATTGCACATAAGACGAGACTTCACAGATATTCTTCTCTCTAATCTTAGACGTGCTATTAGACACAACTGGATTTGATAAAATGATGCATCACACACAACACTGTAAAAATTATTATTATTATTATTATTATTAGTTCTTTAAAGTGAAAATCTGGCAGCAAGGGAGCCAGAGAAAATAGAATAAAAATTGGGCAAACACTGTACTGTTGTACTAGCACATGTCTATAAAAACAGTGGTTTTAAATACAAGGGAAAACTGCAATTTTACACACATTAAAAAGGACGATTCCAGCTTCTTGAACTGAGTATTTTCTGGTCTTTACTCCTTTACGACAAATGCCTTTCGGTTGTGGAAGAAACAACATTTGATCTTGGGTTTTGGGCAACACTGACTGACATTTTTCACCATTTTCTAGGCGAAGCAATCGCTAAATTCATTGAGAACATAGTCGGCCTTAAAAAGAATCTTAACACGCATATGTTAAGTCTTGAAAATGTAAAAAAGAAAATAATTCAGTGCTTACAAACATGCTCTAGGGTGACAGTTCTCCTAAAACCACGAATTCATGTCTGCGCTAGCCTAATCAATTTCTGGCTCACTGTCTAACCTTAACGTCTACGTATCGACTTATCCAATTCACAGCAAAGGAGCACATGAGCACATTTCCCAAAGTGTTGAACTACTTAAAACTGTGCCTTCAGTTCTCCTTAATACTTACATGGGGTAACTGTGTTTTCATTGCTGACGGGCTCCACATTCCACCTGATGTGTTTGCTGCCATGTGTAGCAGAAGCCTCATTCAGCACGAGGCTGCTTTCCTCTTTCACCAGAACAGTCCTTATATCGCGATGATGATGCGGCTGCACACTTGAACTCTGTCTATTTTGACAAGTGGCTGCAAGCAGCAGAGGATCTGAGCTGTTCTCTTCGACCTTGATCTCCTCACTCCCAAGAACTTGTACCTCATTCTCACCCTGAAATGAAAACACGTTTTGAGTGTTGAAGTCACTTTAAGTGCATGATATTCGATGGTACAATTAGCGCCTCACCTGTCTCTGCTTGTTCCTCGCTGTCGTCAAGCACAGCTCCTTGTCAGCATCCGTTCTCTGTCCGCAGGTAAGAAACTTCTCTAGTATGATGCCTGGAGACTGGTCGGCCTCCCTGTCATGTTCCTGTTCTCCCTGCAGCTCTGTTCCATTTGTTGTTTCCCCAACACAAGCTGTAACAGACTCCAGTTCAAACACAACTTGCTCCTCAAGAGATTCCTCTAATATAGAGGGAACTGAAGGTAAAGGTGCAACAGAAGCAGTGGCTGTGTTGGCCTGGAATACAGGAATCGCCTCTGGCTGTGAAATCTTAATATTACGCTCTGCTGTTTCTGAATCAGAGGTGACTCGATGTTCTTCATAAACTACCTGACATTCATCCTGTTCCTTCTCTGATTCTGTTCCTCTGACTGGATCTCCAGCTGAAACTCTCTTTGATAACCCGTCCCTTTTTAGACGTCCTGTTCCTCTTCTTCTACTTCTTGCAGCATTATTTGTAGAAGCTCCTTTCCCTCCTTCTTTTTTCTTCTGGACTGACATTTCTTCCTCCTCTTCCTTGATCTCCACTTGGCGAGTGGAACATGACACAGTTTGTGAATCTAAACTTTTTTCCGTCGTCTCTGGATGTTCGCCGGTACTTCCACCCTCAGAATTGCTGCTTCGATTTGATTCATTTTGCAAAACAGTGTCTTCATGAGTAGCTGGATCATCTCTCTCATTCTGCTCCCCAACAGTGACCAAATCTACCTCTAGAAGTAAATCCTCCTTAACATCTTCATCCATGGCACCCTGGACTTCAGATTCGGAGCTCGGATTCTTCACGGTCTCTTCTTCTCGCTTGTCATCATCTGATGCTAAAGGTTCCCCTGCCTCAGATCTCTTTGTCTGAGTGGAGACAGTTAAAGGGGATTCAGATGTAAAATTTGGCAGAATCTCGCTATTTTCCGTTTTCTCAGATGGTTGGTGAACTTCGGGAGATGTATGAGACTGATTATCTGCTCCTGTTTTACTTCCACCCTTATCTTCATAGGCACTGCCATCAACATCTGGAGGAGGACCAGGAAAAGACGGAGATGGGATCAAAGCTGGAAAAGAGACACTTCGCTCTCGGTCCTCTAACGCCATCTCTCCCATCTCAGGCTCAGTGTCCCAGTCTGTAGCAGCATGCATCACCTCTGCAACCTTGTCTTGCTCTTTTGGAAGCTGGTAAAGATCCAACCTGGAGACGCCTTCAAAGATGTTCCCATTGGTGTACGTGAGACTGGGACTCTCTACGATGTGCACGGTCGTCTTGTGCTTCTGAAGGGACGAGACTTCACTAAACCTTTCCCCACAGTCCTTACACTCTAAGGCACGCTTGGAATGAGAAGTTATAACTCCTTCGGTCTCCACTTTTGAAGAGGCTTTACGTTTCCTGGTGGCCTTTGGCTTGGTGGGCAGTGTCTCCGGTGGCTGATGGGACACCTGCAGCGAGGACAACAGTGAAAGATTTTTCTGGTTCTTCTTGGCTCTTCCTCCTTTTTTCCTACCTTCTGCTGAGGTATTATTTGTAGATGCACTTGTTGGATGTTTGAGATCGTGAGGTGATGCCTCCGGTGCCTGGCTTGATGCCTTTGAAGGGTCTAACTTGTAAACTTTTAGCTGGGGCTGTTTGTGACCTTTCAGTAGTAGCAGAGAGTCTTGCATTATGTGTGAGCCAGCTAAGTCTGCCTTGTTAACTTTTTCCTCTTTTGCCAGGTTTTTCTTTGCCCTCCCATCCTTTGCATTCTTGGGTTGATCTTTTTTCAGGATTTTTGCTTGCTTTTTCCTTTTAAACATAGGCGATGCTACAGTTTTGTGCTTACTCATACGTGTTACACCCCCCTTGGAGACTTCTTTCTGTTTTTTCATTTTATTTTTTCTTGTATCCTCTTTGATTTCATGCACCCGTGGCACCTGGGTTGATGGCGATGACTTGATTTTAGCTGCAGATAATGCGTTTCCCACTGTTTTGTCCTTTTTCCCCTTTCTTCCATTCTTCTCTGATGATTCTTTTTTCTCTACAAGTTTTTTTGTCGGCGTTTTACCTCTTATCATGTCTTCCTGCATCGGCTGACGCTGCTGCGACGGCTTCCTCTGTTTCATGTTTTTCTTCTCTTTGCTTTGTGGACCAAATTTAACTACGAGATGAGGCTTTTTTGTTCTTTGGCGCTTGGGTGGTTTGGCATCAATTTGTAAGTCATCCTTGTACATGGATCCGACCAGATCTTGCATATATCCTTGAAAAATTAAAGTCCTGGCTGGCTTTCTTTTCCTCACTTTCACCAGTTCTTGAGCTGACATTACATTTACGGGTAACTCGGAGCTCTCTGGCCCTTGACTGTTCTCTAACTGTGACTGAACCTCTTCTTGAGCACATGGCTCCTCTACTTCAGACAGGTTATTCTTGCAATCTACAAGTAGTTCCTCAGATGACACTTGTTCAGCCTTTTCTTGGGTGTCCTGCAGTGAGTCTCTTCCTACCACAGGGTGGACCTGATCTAGAACTACTGTTTGCATCTGTGAAATTACATCTTCATCTTTGGGATTAGCTCCAGGCTCACTGGGAGTAAGTGGGTCTGGCGGAACAAAAGAACAAGAGGAGAGGTCCTGCTGATGTGGTTGTAAAGGTGTCAGCTCCAACTCAACCGTAGACATGAGTGGTGGGACTGATAGGCTGGTCTGTTGGTCTTCTATTACAATCTGATCTGCAGTCTGTTGAGGAGTCTCCAGGTCAGTCGTTAGGACCAGAGAGGAGGAAGGAGGGATTTCATTTTGTGGCACAGCTTGGGATTGTTCCAGCTCCAAAGTTGGCATCAAAGCAGGCGTAAGTTCTAATATGACTGTTTGCTCAAGATTTTGTTTGAGATCCACAGGATCAGAGTGAATTGCACTAATCTCAGGTTGTTGAAGGATCTGATGCAGCACCTCTCCCTCAGGTCTCACTGTTTCTTCAACCGGAACAAGTGTTAGCTCAATGTCTTCACCTGCTGCTATGTGGGAGCTTAATTCTGAGAAAGAAGGATTTTCTAGTTGTCCATCTGGAGTGATAGGTTCCAGTATTATTGTTTGCTCCATTGAATCACATGGGTTGTTTGAAGGGTCCAACTCAATAGTCTTTGAGTCTGTCTCTTTCAGTCCTATAAAATCAATCTGTGGTGGGCTGAGATTCAAATTTACCGGCTCTGCCAGTTGTGATATCTGCTGCACTTCCAGTGGAGGGGCATGAGGTGGTACCTGCCCCAATATGACCACTTGGTTCACTTTCTGCACATTTCCCAAAGATTCAATAAGTCTGCGAATCTGCTCTGTGTCAATATTGGCATCAACTTTTTGCAGAGGTCCATTGGGCTCCACCTGCAGTAGTGCTGGCTGGCAGATAGATATTGGAGTTATGATGGGTGTATTTTGTTTCACTTGCTGCCCTGTTGGGACGGTATTACGGGCTGCAGCAGGCAACACATTGTGCTTCGTTTTGATGTGATGTAGCCGTGTCCTGGAACTCTTGAAAGTGGCCTTGCACACAGAGCAAGGATATTTTGTAGTCGAGGCACCTAAAATTAAAGGAAGAAAGTTGAGATGTGCTGTTTTAAACCTTGAAAACATACAACATTTTCTGTAAGCTGACAAATACAATGGGTGATCAAACAATTTGATGTAAAGAGTCAGGAGACCACGTGACATTGAGCTATCAACGGCGGGACGTATGTTTGAGCAGTTTTTGTGACTACATGCATTGAATTTGTGTTGCAGAAAATGCATAAATTATTTTCTGTGTTTGGTCCTGACTGGCTGCAGTGTCTGTTTTACACTGATGGTATTGCAACTAAAAGAAATTCAAGTTTGAGGGTCACTGTTCTGACACACTTTAAGAGATTTAGGTCATCACAGATTGGGTTTGGCATGTTTACATAAGAGGATACTCCAATGAGCGTTGCAAGCATTGCAGAAGCGCTGGGAGTGCTAAATCGCTACACAAGGAGAGTGTTTTGAGGGGGATGCCAGCCAAGTCAGAATCTATGGTTTTTGTTTTTTATAGACACAGTACTGGAACGGTTTCGCCTTTAATGGACCGGATAGCAAAAAGAGACAGAGAAACATGGGAAAAAGAGTGGGGGAAGGACATGCAGCAAACGAGCTGCTGGTTGGAATCGAACCGTGGCCACTGCGTCAGGGACTATAGTCCCTGTGCATGGCTCACCATCTTATCCAGTTGAGCTACCAGGGCACCCAGTACAAGAACTTTTTTTTTTTAAATATATTTTTTTGGCCTTTGCCTTTATTAAGTGCAGTAGAGGGAGACAGGAAAGAGGGGAGAAGAATGGGGACAGACCTGCAGCAAAGGGTCGTGAGCGGGATTCGAACTCACGACCGCTGCATCGGGGAACTACAGCCCCTGTTCATGGGCCGCCCGCTCTACCAGGTGAGCTATAGGGGGGCCCAAGTACAAGAACTTTTTGATCATCTGTAGCATAAATTGTTTTCCAGAATTTAATAACTTAATGAGGAGCTAGCAACAGCCGTGCTAGCAGTTCTGTGAGGTTGTGCATAGTAGAGCTTAGAACTAAATGCTCAAGTCAGTGCGTATTGCTGTTTACTAACCCACATTTTGTAATGAGCTCACCCCCAGTCCAGCTGAGGCCTAAAGCAGGGGTGTCGACATCCGGTCCTCGAGGGCCACAGTCCTGCATGTTTTAGATGTGTCCTTCTTCCAACACACCTGATTCAAATGATCAGGATCGTTATCAGACTTCTGCAGAGCTTGATGATGAGCTGATCATTTGAATCAGGTGTGTTGGAAGAGGGAAACATCTACAACATGCAGGACTGTGGCCCTCGAGGACCGCAGTTCGACACTCCTGGCCTAAAGGAATGTTCGTAGTTCTGCAAATATTTAATCAGAATCCAGAGTTTTGGGCGCATGTTAATCTGGCCTGATGATGGCGGTAAGTGACAACTTAAAGTGTGATTAAAATTCATCCTCAGGGGGAAACGAATATCCATACTAAATTTTATGGCATTGCATGTAGCTGTCAAGACATTTCTCAACAAATGTTTTAGCACTAAGTAACTAAAATATTGTATATTTTTAAAAAAATGTTTGTCATTATTTTCATGTGTATACTGATGACATTTGTAACATGGACATTTTTCTTACCATCATTTTTCCTCAGTTGTGCTTTAGCTGTGGTGTCTCCTCCACCTCCTTCAGCTCCCTCAGCTCCCTCTGGCAAGTGTGACGTTATATGTTTCTGCAGAGCTTTGGACATGGTGAACCTCTTTCCACACTCCTTACAAACATACGGCCTCTCTCCGGTGTGTGTGCGCCGGTGATACTTCAGCAACGTTAGCGTTTTGCAAGGTTTGCCACAGTCCGTGCAGGCATAACCGTCTCGACCAAAATGGATCTTTTTATGAACAGTGAGCTCTGAGGACTTGTTGAAGGCCTGGCTGCAGATTGGACACTTAAAGGGTTTCTTCTCTATGTGGGCTTTCTGGTGGGCCATGAGCTCTGTGGAGTTTGTAAAGTGGCGGTCACACACATAGCAGGCAAAAAGGGCATTTCTCAGGATGCATTGTTCATATTCTGCCGGGTGGCTCAGCTTCAGATGACGCTCTTTGCTCTTGTGATCGCTGAAGATGATGTGGCACTCGATGCACTGCAAGGAGAGCTGAGATGCTGGAGAGAGAAACATAGCAGGAGGGGGACAAAGTTTACATGCATCCATATACATGCATACAAATTCTTAGAATATTCATGCAAAATATGAAAACTTGCAAAAAGAAAAATGTGGCTCTGGGGTAAATTCAGTTCCACACATGGAGGTCAGAAATATCCTGGAGGTAAAAGGTGGCATGAAAAACAGAAAGGCACCTTCATGTAAATCACACAGCAAATAAGGGTTTGTTTGGGCAAAAGAAACGTCACCTCTTGCATGGCAGCGACATAATGCTCCATTTATTTACTACCATACATTAGAAGTTAAAATTGGAAAACATGTTATTACTTTCCTGTGTGCATTCCAGCGATAAATGTTCTATAGGAATCCTTGAACTTTTTAGAAACTGTGATAATACACTCTTATGACAACAGGACATCAGTGCTCTCTGGTGGACAAACGCATACACGTGCACATCAACACCAGGGCTGCAACGAACTGTTCTTTTCATTATGTGTTGATTATTTTCTCGGTCAGTCAATTGGTTGTTTGGTCTGAAAAATCAGTTTTACTCAATTCAGAAAATGATGTCCTCAAATGTCTCGTTTTGTCCACAACCGAAAGATATGCAGTTTACTGTCATACGGAGGACTTTTTCTCCTTTAAAAAGTTACTCAGACTCAATAATCCATTATCAAACTAGTTGGCAATTAATTGAATTGTTGGCATTGACTAATCATTGCAGCCCAAACCTCTACTGAAGTGTATATGAGGAAAGAAAGTTGCGAATATAACAGCACAACCCAAATATAGTTCTACTTCCTGCTTGCAGTGTTTTCTGCAGTTGCTACTGAGCACCAGAAGCTGATAGCTGTACGGAGTTAACCAAACTTCCAGCGGCATAAGCCTGACTAAACAAGACTTGAAAATATTTTAAAAAGCTTGCTATCTTGTAAAAGCATACAATAAAAGTGTTGGCACACAGTACTTAAAACAGTATTGTGTATTTCACCCTAAATAAAAGTCATGTACTGTAGATACAAAACAAAATTTCCCAACTAGGAAGTGCTATTTCAAGTGCTTTTATACACCAACAAGCCACAACATTAAAACCAATGAGAGATTAAGTAAATAAAAACACTGACTCTCTTCTCACAATGCCATTTTCTGCTGGGAAACCTTGGGTTGTAGCATTCATATGGATACTTCTTTGACACACACCACTCATATAAACATCGTGGCAGACATCAGAAGTGACTAGGGCTGTTATGACGGCAGGTTTTCACTACACGATTAATGTGGCCACAAAAAAATATTGTGATCAGTCAAATTAATCTTTAACTTTGTTTATTATGTGTTTTGGCTCATTTCTGGCAAATGCATTACAGCTGAAATACAAGTGTGGAGAGTTGGAAATGACCATCAGGTTGATAAATTATTGGCCTGGATGATTACAGGTTCTGATGTTCAGCATTTTTTCAGTTATCTGTAATTTTTTAAAAAGTGATTCCTCTTTTCCAAGTCTCTGGTCTTGAGCAATATCCTGTAGCTTTCTGATTGGTTATGAGAAATAACCCATCAACACAAAGCGAAATGTTTACAGGGTGTCTTTTAACCAATCACATGTTGTTTTCACTGCAAATCGATTATTGGTCTTGTTGATTACTAATAATCAGTATCGGCCCTGAAAAGTTGCACTGTATGTTGCTGCTGTATGTTGATTAAATGGTGGCGTGTCAACCAAAACGTTAGTGCTACTGGATCATTTACAATATCATCGTTTGTGTATTATTAACATGATTAGTTACTAGTTAATAACAGTATATCACAACACCTCTTGTAATGACGGTGTCGTCCTGATTTTGAATCAATAATCAGTCAACAAGCAGGTCTCTCAGTCGTAGCCTGGTTTTAAAAAGGTACATCACAGAAAGATGCACATACAAGGTACAATACTCACATGTGAGAGGCATAACCAGAGGTTTGGACATATCCATCTTCAGAGGATCCACCATGGCTTTCTTGGAGGGAACATATTTCCTGCCATCACCTTTATCTTGCTTCGCTGCCTTTTGCCCAACACTCCCAGGACTTGTCTTGCCTGCTGGGGCTAAGCTTGGCTTTGCAGCAGCGTCCGTCCTTGCAGTGTTTTCCGTGGACTCGGTCAGTGTCTGAGCACTGTTCTCCACTGGTGGTGTGACCGTCATAGTGGCAGGTGTTTCTGCTGTCTGCACCCCCGTCTCTGTTGCTTTAGTATTGCCAGCTGATTTGCTTTCCTCTCGTTGTGCATCTGGTCCAGTCTGTGCAGGCTGAGGCTCGGGGTCCAGCGGTGCCTCTGTGGTCACAGGTTTGTGGGCCTGGCTCGGACTCTGCATGGCTCCCTGCTTCTCAAATGCACTGGTTCATGTGTTTCTGTGGAATCAGCTGCCACATAGAAACACACATGATTGTACAATTCTACAAATACACTAATGCTCGCATGAACTACCAAAACCATTACTCTTTTGGTTTATTTTTTTTAACAGAGGTGGCTTTATATGATTTTAAAAGCAGTAAGCTGCATCTTTGTTGTTAACATGGGGACAGCTGGGAGACCAGGCTCCAAACATTTGAATTACAAAAGAAGACTGATGGAGAAGGAGGGCAGCCGCCGGAGGCTGTCGTAAAAACCAATTACAACACTGAAACATGTCTGAATTTACCGCTGGGATGCATTTTTAACATGCTAATCTTGAGCAGTCTCCCCCAAATAACCACAAATTCACAGGTAATGGTTAGCTTAGTTAGCCGAATTCATTGATTTGCGTTCAAATAAGGGTGAAAATGTCGGTATTTTCAGTCTGCAAAGGTGCCGAAGATGCTAAATATTCCCTCCACTCGTGTCCACACACGGCCGTATCTCTGTATCAAAGCAAGAGGATGGAGATTTGAGGTTACCTAGGCTGACTCGTCCGCCCCAAACATCTCCGCGTCGTTTGTCACAAAGCCGACACGGAGGAGCCGCAGACACGACGACGTCACGGCTGACACGGAGCGCGGAGGAATCATGGGAAATGTAGTTTTTAACCATCTAGCAATTTCATGCACTGTTATAGAGCAATTTTAATTAAGGTAGTCAGGCTGAGACCATCACTAAGTGGAATGGCACAATGTCTTGTTAATAAATAAGCCAAATATTGTTTTTCATAAATATATATATATATAATGGTGCCTCACAAATCAAGTCATTCACTTATGCAGGCAAGGCTGATATGTTACCATGCATGAGAACTCAAATGCAGTAAAATAAGCTTTTTTTGTGCTTTTAAGATGACCAGAAAACCCACGCTGACAGACATGAAGCCACACTTCCTTCCTGTACAGAGTGCCTTTTGGGCAAGCGAGTGGTTTGAGGGGTGTACAGCCATTATCAAGTCAATCAGTCAGAAATGCATGTTGGAAAAGGTTTTAAAAACATTTTAAAAATATGGGAAAAAACTTGTGGAATGTACAGTGCAGGGGAGGACTGGTCACCATGACGACCCTGCCTTTTCCTGGTCGATGGTTTCTTTGGTTGGCAATGATTTTTTCTTCTTTAGCTTGGATTTGTCAAAGCGTTCAACTTCAGCTATGCTCACAAATCCAGAATTGTCTCTTAAGTTGGGCTTTTTTTTCTCTTTTTTTTAATGAAATAAATTACAATTTAAAGTATATAAGCTGATTACATGTAAGTAATTTTCAAGATATTTAAGAAACACCTCCCCCTTCATTGAAAATGCATAAATATGAAAACATTTTGTTTTAGAAGTGGTCAGATGTAGTATGTCTCCCACCTTATTGTATCCTCAGTGTGCACAGTTTCCTCCAGGAGACCTCCAAACTGGTTGTGTTGTTGCAAATTCTCCTTGCAGGACCAAAACTTTTATTCAAGGAACAGAATTTTTTCAAAGCTTTTTAGTGTCAAACTCTGACCACACATAATTCTGCATCCAGGAGAAGGAACAAAGACCAGAACACATTTCTGGGTGCATGTAATTGGCCTGCTAATAGGACTCTTTTTAAGTCCCAATAACATAATATTTAAAAAAAAAAAAACCTTTGAATATTCTTCCTGCGACACAAATATGTTTGTTGCATGTAGTGCTGCAGATCTTGATAGAAGGAGCCACCAGGTGGTGGTGCTGTAGCAGCGTGTAATGTAGGATCTTCTTCACTGGGAGGCACTTACTGTAAAATCCCATTGTTACAGTCCATTAAAACCTCCATAAACTGAACACACTAGGCTGCACACTCCTATCTAAAATTTCTGCACACAGTCAACGAGCTATTGTTCTGGTAAAATATGATGTTATTGCGGGGGTGTGTTTGTAGATATGTGCTATGATGTTTCCTACACTTCTATGAATCCTGCTCATTACTATAATATTGCACAAACTACATTAGAATTAGAAACTGCAACGGCGAGCTGACTGACCGCGAAGCAGCTCGTAATTATGGGATTAATAATTTATGAGATTGAAAGTCTCTCTTGAGTTCCATTAGCTCTCGCAGTATTAATAACCGAACCATCACTTACACTATAAACTCTATTAAAATTTCAAAGTGTTGATTGTAGCCGACTGACCAGCCGTCTAGAAACTTAAATGACATTTTTATGAGCTATAAAATGCTGTCATTCACTGATGAATACAGTTGTAAGTACAGTTGTGTGGCCACGTTTCTCAGCCCTTATATTTCTCTCCACATTGGAGATTACTCACAATAGATGTTAAGATCTTGTCTTTGAAATGTTGCTGTAGACTGTTTTAATACGCTTAACAATAGATTATAAATGTCTATACTTACATGAATATTTCAATAAGCCCTCAGTGTAAATAATGTTTGCAAATTCACCCTTAAAGGGCAATAAGGAGACTACTAGCTCAGCTATTCAAATCACAACTCAGTAATAAAAACAAACACTTCAATGATTTTCAGTGTCTTTTATCTTATTTAGTAATATAGAAGCAGTAGTGTAAGTCAGATGAGGTAGCTTTATTTCAGTTTATTTTCTCAGTTTTTTCCCTCTTTGGGTCATGACAATGTTGTGCAAAACCTCATTTTCATCTCACATTGCATTCGAAATGCTTTACAATCTCATAGCACATTAACCAATACAGACACTCAGTGTCAATTCAGCGTTGGACATTAGTCTTTAATGTAATGTAACACAACTACAAAAAAAAAATAATTCAAAACTCTAAGCAAGCTGGACAGCAGTTGAAGAGCTACAGGGATAGAAGCAATGAACGACCCCAGCTTGTACCGACAGCAGAGTTCTTATTGAGGTCTCTGTCTATGTGAGTAAATTTATGCTTCTGCAAGGCTTCATCCCTCGGCGTCATCCTGAGGTATCGGCAGCTCCCCTGTCGCATGCTTCATATAATGCAAATGCAGCTTTTCCACTTGATCAAAGCCCATATCGCATTCGATGCACTCCCACTCCCAGTACTTGTGCTGTCTGTGCTTGTTTGCTTCTTGCGACTCCCTCTCGTCCAGCTCTCGTCGTGTCTGAGACCCTGCAGTGTCTGATTTCATCTCATCAGATGGACCAAGTGGTTTGGAAAACCTGAAGTGATGCACCGGTTCCCCACAATCAGACTCCTCAGAGCTTTCTTGCTCCCCAGACGTAACATCCTCGCTTTGACTTTCACTTCTCTGCACATTTTCCTCATCTGGTTCCTCAGTGGCATGTTGCCTTTCCTTTTTAAACTCTTTTCCCTTTCCATGTAAGGCCGAACTCTTCTGAGGCACACCGCTGGAGCCATGAAGACCTTTAAGATGCATTCTTTGGTGGAAAGTTAATCTCCCGTGATGGGAAAATCTCCTCCCGCAGAATTTGCAGCAGTAAGCCTTTGCAGCAGTGTGGGTGTCGACGTGTTTCCCGAGCTGTGTAGACACGTCTGAGCTCTTGCTGTGCCGTGGACCGTGACTTTGCATGTGTTTATCGAGTGACGCTTCATCTCTGAAGCCTTGGGTGCAACTTAGACACCAAAACGGGTTCTGTTTATGCATATCAACATGGGCGACCCATGACTTTATAGAAGAGAAGGTTCTGTTGCACTGATCACAACTTGGTTTAAACCACTGACGTGACCTGTGAACTCTGAGATGGTTGAGGAGCCGAGTTCGCCTGATGAACGACACCCCACAGTCTGGACACTCGTACTTCTTCAATTTCTGCTCAGTCGGGGCCTGTTTTTTTACCTCAGAGGACGGGGCTTCATGCAGAAGTTGGTGTTTTTTGAATGAAACCAGGTATGTATAAATCTTCCCACAGACCAAGCAAACGTAAACATTTCGAAGTTCATCATTCATGGACACCGTGGCAAGTCCTTGCATCATTTCTGAGGGTTCTGCTTGTGCCAAACTCCTGTCATTTGCACCATCACTCACATCTCCGTCTTCAACATCTGCTTCAAGAGTCCTGCTGTCTTCCATCTTAGCTTCCTCTTCCTCCTCGTCCTCCAGGGCATGCTGGTGCAGGTGGTTCTCGTAGACCTTCTGGTGTGTAAACTTCAGTCCACAATCCTCGCATGTAATGTTGACTACAAAAGAAAAAAAAAAAATAAAGAATTTTATAAACGCTTTAAAGGAAATCTTGTCAGTTCATGGACAAAATTTTGAGTATGTAAAATAAACCAATCTATGTGACAAACACTTTATTTTATGAAATATAAAGCTACCAGTTTATGTCTAGTAACAGTAGATGAAATGGTGAGTTGGGACTTTTTGTTCCGTCGAATTGAAAAGAGATCTGAACAGTATTAATGATTCCATTTAACTTTGTTGATCATGTTCGCAAAATACAGACGATCTGTGATAAATCTCTTAAGTCTGGAGTCAAATAATTATGGTAGCAGCACGACTGCTCTGTAGGTTGGACTCCAGTATATTTTTGCAAATCTTCAAATTAAGGATTCTTTCAGTAAATACTATCGCAATATTGAAATTATATAAACTTTATGAGGCGGAAATCTAACAACCTCATACAACAGCTATGCTACTAGTTCTACTTTTATGAAGTTTCGTTTCTTTCTTGTCAAAAAGGTGATCATTTTGTTTTATAAGGGTTTTTTTGTGCACAGAGGAATGTTTGGTATCCCCCAAATAGATTTTAACTTGCACCAAATTGGGATAAATCTTACAAAAATATATGTTTTTAACAAGTTGGACTGATGAAGGTTTCATTTACTCATGTATAAAGGGCATTTCTGTTTATCAGATGATCAGAAATAATAGCAAAACACATCATTTCAGTCAAATAAGGTGAAACAGCATCATTGTCGTGCAGGCGCCTGAAAAAATTATGTTCATATTTATTATTTTGGTCATAGCGGATTATGGTTGTGTGCTAGACTGCATCACTTTTAGAAGTATTCCTGATATTTTGTAACTCAGATTAATGTTCACAAGGGGGCAAAGTATCAGGACGACTCAAATGTCCATCCATCCATCCATTATCTATACACCGCTTCATCCTCATTAGGGTCGCGGGGGGGTTGGATCTTATCCCAGCTGACTTAGGGCGAAGGCAGGGGACACCCTGGACACGTTGCCAGTCGACTCAAATGTAATGCAGTCAAATCCACGACGCACTACTTCAAAACCAACATAAACTGAGAACGTAGCAGCTCTGTAAAAGTAGGACAAGTAATGAACTATTCCTAATAAAATGGCAGGAGAGTATATCTGGAACTGGAAAAGCTTGCAGCTTATGTTTATTACCTGATCTATTATTTTCTCAATTATTCAATCGACATTTGAGCTACAAATTTTCATGAAAGCGTGAGTTAAGACTGAGGACCAAGGCAACAACTTCAGTCTAAAAATATGCGTTTTCATAAGAACAGAAAAAAAAAACAAATCTTGAGATTTGACTAACTGGAACTGAGGAATGTTTGGAATTGTTCATACGTCAAACTAGAAAATTTAGTTCCTGTTAATTAATAATCAACTGCAAAAAACAAAAGAGCCGTAATATTAAAATCAGCATGACATAGCAAACAAGTCATTCAACAATCCTGTTTAAATGCTGGATGTCTATTCATTAAAAAAAAACTTTTTATTTATTTTACACATATTTATATATATATATATATATTCTATATTGCGCGCTGTGAATCTAAAGTAGGAAAAAGTATTTTTTATGTGGAATACACTGCTACGTGTTAAAATGCACATCAATAAACAACCAAGACGAATCGGAACGCACAAACATGAACAGAAATCAGACTGGTAATTTCACAAACACACAAACTGATTAAAGTAATCACACAACCCAATAAATTCCGCAAAAATTAATCAATTTATTTTTCCACTTCTTAGACACCTTTAATCTTCTTTGTTTCCGAAACAGCAAGTTAAACAAGTAGTCAAATGGTAAATTGGTCATCTAGAGCAAAACAAAACAAAAAAAAAAGAGAGAAAAAAAAGGAAAAATTTTCATAAATTAATACAGTAAAGTTTTTTTTTTCTATGAACAACTCTCCTACAAGAACATAATCACTATTCTAGTTTAAGTAATGAATAGTCTTTCCACAACATAGAAATATAACACTGAAAAGAAACAACATGGGCGTTTAAGAGCTTGACTGTTAAATTTTGTCGTACATTTCTTTTAACCAGTTTCCAAAAATAGTGCACATTGTTGGATTTTACATGATTCATCTTTCTGTTCAACTCATTCAGCACAATCTCAGGTGTTAAAAATAACAGCAGCATAATTAGTATTTATATATATATATTTGCGATGCAGATTTACTTCAGTGTCTTCATAAAGTTTGCAATAAGTAGTGTGTCGACAGGACATTTGATTTCTCGGGACATTTTAAATGCATGAGGACAGACATGCATACATGTTTCTAAATCTTTTTTTGATATATCTAAATATGAATTCCAACACTTAAGCCAGCGAAACCCCTAAACGGTAATAACAAGGTTCAACTGACATTCATTCAAAAATGGTGGCTCGAAACTACACGTCACTGACATCAACCTAAGTGTATAAAAGCGGTTATACTTTCACATTTATACAGATACTAGTCCAGTGTAAAGGAAAAGCCTGAGAATTGGAAAATAACCTAAGAAACTGCTTTTGTTTTTTTTTGTTTTTTTAAATATAAAGAATCTCAAAATATGTACAAACAAATAAGGAAAGTGTGTTAATACTCGGGGAAAATTAAAGGTCCAACAGAGAATTTTCTAGCTTAACACATTTGGCAGTCTCAAAAAGAAACAGTCCCACAATCTACAGTGTCATTCCTTCGCTTATGTACAGTTTCTTTAACACGCTCCGCGGGCATGCTCGATATAGTGCTGGTGCAAATCAGTTTCTTGACAAAAAGTAGTTCCACATTCAAGGCAAGTAAGGCCATCCGTGTCTCCCGATGAGACTGCAGCAGCGGGGGCGTCGCTCGGTCTTTTGTAATCGCTGATACATTCCTGGTGGTGATCGATAAGGTCTTGGATTTCACTGAAGGTCCGGGGGCAAACGGAGCAGCGGTACGAGTCGCCGCCGGTGCACTGCTCGGTTTCGTGGTTCTGTAACGCAGTTGGTGAAAGAAAGGCTTTGCCACAGCGTTGGCACTTATGGCTACTTTGCGATTGGCCAGTGGCTGAAGACAGAAAAGGCTTCCCTTTGCCGTCAGCAGTGAGGAGGTTGGGTCTCAGAAGCTTTGAGGTCATGGCGGCGCTGAGCCTGTAGCGAACCTCGTTGGGGAGCCGACAGCGGACTTCGTCGTGCCAGGCGAGGTGCTGCTGCAGCTGATTCTCGGTCCAGAAGCCGTGGCAGCACAGAGCACAGCAGTAAGGCCGGCTCTTCGCCTTGGCCTTGTGGTTCCCTAAGTGCTCCTCTGTTTGGAAGGCTTTGCCACACTTATCGCACTTAAAGAGGCATTTAACTGTTTGCTCTGACAGACGGCCGAGCGATGGGGGAACCTCGGCTTCAAGAGTTTGGACCTCCAGTTTAGACCCCTGCGTTGCTTCTGGGCAAACTTTCTTATGCTCGAGGAGGCCACCTGCAGAACTGAACCGTTTCCCACAGTCAAGACAAGAAGCAGGCAGGGGGTCTGATCCGATTTTCTTCTTTCCTCTGATAACAGGGCTATTTTTCACCATAACTGGAGCATTTTCTGGAGCTGGTGAATCTTCTTTTTTGCTGACTTCACTGCTTGAGGCAACGGGCTCCGTTTTTACACTCAAATCAACCTTGTTTTTGCCTTTTGTGCTCTTCGAGTGGGCCTGCCATTTATGAGCCCGCAGACCTCTTGCTTTTGCAAAAGTCATGGAGCAGAGGTTACACTGGTGAGATTTTGGCTTCAGTGTCACTGACTTCTTCCCGCTGCAGTTTACGTCGGCCTGTCCTGGGATTTGTTCTAACGGTTCTAGTGGCTCATCTCCCTGACCGTCCAACATTTCACTGTGTTCGTTTTCATAGTGGGAAACGAGTAGTGAACTCTTTGCAAATGTCTTGTTGCATTCTGGACATGCAAACGGCTCCGATGTGTCGCTGCTGCTCTCTGTACTTTTGTCTGAATCCGGCTCAGTTTTGGCGTGACAGTGAGGACTGAACATCTGGTGGCGCTTAAGAACGCGATGGTTGAAAAACTGTTTGTCACACTTGTCGCAGTGAAAAGGTCCGTCGTCAGCCTTGTGGCTCACAGGTTTCAAATCGTCGTCTTTCAGCGAGGTCCGAGACCATTTCTTATCTTTGTGCCATCGTTTGTGAGAGCCGAGCGCCGCGTTGGTCATGAATCGCCTCCCACATTCTGAACAGTGAAATATCCCTTTACTTGGCTCGTCTTTAGGTTTCTTAAACACGACAGAAATGGCCAAATTTGATTTTGCTACATCCTCAGAATGCATTCTTTTGTAAAAATTGTATTCCAAATTGCTTGTACTTGGGTTTTCTAAGCTGCCCACATCGTCTGTTTCATTCTTTATTTCCGCATGCACCTTGAACTGGTCAGAACTTTCCTCTGTGCTGGCCTCCATACTTTCTTTGTGCAGTTTCAGATCATCATTATTTTCTAACAATTCTGTCTTCGCAACTACGTGACTCTCTCTTTTAATGCACAGCTTTTGATGGGCCCTTAACGAGACCTTGTTGCTGAAATGTGCAAGGCATGTCGCACACTGCAGATCCTCCAGCCCGACTGTGGATCTTGGTGACGACGGAGAGTGCCCCGTCTCGTAGCCGTGGCTTTTCATGTGAAACTGCAGCGCTTTTTCCCGCGAAAACAGCTTCCCGCAGTCAGGACAGCTATACGTGTTCTTTTTCAACTGCTCGACCTGATGCTGGAAAGACTTAATGGGTGGTGGGAGCAACTGGTCGCTGTGCACCACCTGGTGTCTGAGGAGGCTGGAAAAAAGACGGAATGACCTGTTGCACAGCTCGCATTTGTGATTTCCGTTTTCATGTTTGCGCATGTGCAACGCCATAATGCCCCTGTGGCGAAACTTTCTGCCACACACCGGACATGCAACCTTAGCGCTGGAGCGTTGGTGTCCGTTAACAGAGTGCAGAGATCCTACACCTTTTCTCAGCCTCAAATCTGTACACTCTGTCTGACTTTGCTTGTGGTGGGAGTAAGCCCCTAATGACCAAAACCCCTTTCCGCACTGTTCGCAATGATAGATCTTTGGGCCTAGTAGGGTTTTCTTTGGATTGTATTCTTTTTTACTGGCAGAAATATTTTCCTTCTTCTGTGCTGAGCAGGTTTTCATATGGTTAAAGAGGCTAGCTGCATGTGAATAAGACATCATGCATTCTGGGCACCGAAACGGTTTTCTTTTGGGATGATGTAACTGATGAGAAACTAAAGCAGATAAACGAGAGAAAAATTTGCCACACTCTTTGCATGTCAGATTTTTCCCCTCTAAACCCTCTGCCTCATCCAATATGTCACTGCTCAGGTTTTGATCATTGTGGGTTTGTATGTGATTACAGTGTTCCACAACACTACGGGCTTCATGGCCACATGTGTCGCACGTGTAAGCTGCCACTGACTGACCTTGATTCTGCTGTTGTCTTCTCCTATGAACGCCATGCCACATTCTGTGAACACGCAGCGATGAGGGACTAGTGAACCAGCGATAACACTCTGGACAATCGAATCTTTCCTCTGCTGTCGCGTTCTCGGCTTCGCTCGCTATCAGTGCACACTGCTCGTCGGCTTGCTCAAAGTCAACTTCTACAATTTTCAGGTCCATCTCTGGTTTTGAAACCAGAAGACTTTCGAGGGAAACTTCGTCATCTCTTACATCCTGATCTGATTCACACAGCAGCTCAAGATCAGGGTTCAGGTCTTGGACGGGCTCGTCCTCAGATTCACTCGCGCTGATCACCTGCACATCGAAGTCTCCAGGTTCGTAACTCTCCATGTCTTCGTCAGTGTCATTTACATAGATTTCTTCAGCCATACTGGCAGGAAGAAAGCTCTCTGGAGGCCCTTTATCCTCTGCAGGAGCCTCCAGGTTTTCTTTGATACCACTTTCCAACATTCTGTCTTGAGATAGCAGCGAGGAACGCATCTGACCCGCCTCCTCTGTTTCTTTATAAGCATCTGTGTGTTGGAGCTCATGAGAATGAAGTGCAGAAGCCCTGGAAAACTTGAGCCCACAACTTTTACATTCAAATGCCTTTTTCTGCAGCTGACACACTTGATGAAGAAACGACTTTGCTGGCGTCTCATCGCTGTGAGCAGTGCGCTGATGTCTGTAGTAGAACGTCAGAGTCATGAATACTTTTCCACATTCCTCACACGGGAACCTTTTTGCACAATTGTCTGAGTGATTAGCATGCCATCGCTGGTGGTTAAAGAGGGCAATGTGGCCACTGAAAGCCTTTTTACACTCACTACAGTAAAACTCACTGCCGCTCTTCTTTGGTTTTGGTATCATTTCTTCTGGAGCGCACTGGCTGTTGCGGCTAAATCGCTGATGTGTTTTAAGTCGCATCAGGGCAGAAAAAGATTTGCCACATGAACACTCATAAAGTTTTTCCGAATAGTCTTCGGTCTGATTTTCATTGGGCTTCGTTTCTAACACTGACTCTCCAGTTTGAGTTGCGTCTCTTGAGCTCCTGTTTTTTGACTTTACCAACTTTTCCTCATGACAACGACGATGGGCATCAAGAGCTGAAGCTCGAGAATAATTCCGCCCACAAGACTCGCACTGAAAGGACTTCTTTTTCAAATGTTCAAGGTCATTAAAAACTGATTTGGTGGGTTGACTGTGTGAGCGCCGATGGTTGAGGAAGTGTCCAATCACAACGTAAGATTTCCCACAGTCTGGACATTCGTAGGAGTGCTGCTTTGTTATCCCAGAATTAATCTGAATGCCAGACTCCTCCTGAGCGATTTGATCATGGGTCTCTTTCATATGTGAGTGGAATTCACTCAGTTCAACAAACGAGAGTGAACATACAGTACAGAGAAGGGGTGCTTCATTGTCCTTTTCTGCTTCGCGTAATCCGTCCAACTGTTCGTTTAAATACATGTTTTCCTGCGGGTGCTGACGTCGATGCTCCAAGTAGGCTGCCTCCTCTCTGAAGGCTTCTCCACAATCCCGACAGCAGAAAACCCCAACCCCTAGAAATAGAAAGGGGAAAATAGGAGGTCAAAGCCACTCCTGTTTTCAGAGAAGGTAAGAAAGGAAAAAAAAACAAAAAACAAAACACAAAAACACAGGTACAAACCAGGTCTTTATTTTAAACATAATTCCAGTTTACAGTATCGTCACACAACAATAGAATTTCCAAACAAGACGGATAAAAACCGACTACAGAAACATTACATTTCACATAAAAACATAAATCGCTGAGCGTTGTTACTGAGTTGCTTACACACTGCTTAACCTAATTACCACTGTAAAGTTTCATCATTCGGTTACTGGATAGCTGCATGAGTTGGAGTTCTAAGCAGGCAAATGTTTCCACAGCACCAGCAGTCTGTGGTACTGCATTTCAAGGTTGTGTCAGCACAACACTAATTTTCTTCCCTGCAAATGTAATGCTGATGTCGCATTTAATTAGCACACATCAGCCCAAGTTTAAAGGGGGTACAAAACGGCTTAAAAAAAATAAAAAGCCATGGTCTTATAAGAACAAGCTGGACTATGACTCAGTTTTAACCATGAAATCTTCGAAACAGAGAACTACCGAAAGCAATTTTGTTGCACTGAAGAGTGAAATGCTTTGTTGGATCAAAACCCTAGTTTAAAAAGCAACCATGATCATTTAAGATGTTCTGAGTCATAGACAGGCTCAACTTTAGGCTGAGGCCACACCAGCAAGTAGAAGATGGGGAAACAACATTAAAGATATTCTGATGCAGCCTTAAAGTGGCTATTGAGAAACCACCAATGCGGTACCAGAAGCTAATGCAGTGTCAATGCTATTGTTTGTTGCCTATCAACAAAAATAAATGCCACAAAATGGATTTCCCCCCCTGAAAACAGTAAATACTTCTATGTTTTTGCAATACCAAGGGAAACAAAAGTAATGAGTTTCACTGGTTTCATTCTTGTTAAGAATGTTAGTCTATTTGACAACTACCAAACTCTAAATCTTAAACATGTTGGCTGTTTATGTGCACTGTTCACATGGCTAGTCCACATAAAATAAAATCAATATAGGTGATGTTTGCCTGCAAACAGTTATATTACAAAGAAATTGATAATTAGTAACAGGGTTCCAGATTAACTTTTTCCACTGGTAGCGTTGGTGCGACTAACTATCTCATTTGGTCACACCTCCCACCTTGTCACAAGCAAAACATATGACTTGCCTCACATTGCAGGCTGCGGTAGTTGCTGCTTGGTAGCTGCAGAGTGCTCAGACCGGTGTGTGACCAAAAATTACTTTGAAAAGAGTAAACTAGGCCACTCTAATGAACGCATTTAGGTGCGCTCCACTTTCACGAGAAGACCACATTTTTCAGCGCATATACCACAGTACACCAAAGTTAAGCAAGTTCTACTTTCCACCACTGTGGTCAACACAGTTGTTGCCTTTGCCAGTTATAGCAACACTAACACAGCTTCATGATCATCATGCACTCGCACCAATGCGACCACTTGAAATTTTAAGTTGCACACTCAAAAAAAGGTCTGGAGCCCTGAGTTATCATCACTATTATTCGTAAATTTTAAAAGATATATTGTAGTTTTTATTAACCTATAAACTATTTATTCCAACTGTAAATATAATGTTGAAGGAGAATTTTTTGTGCTGCACTGTATATACATTTCCCGTACAACAGAAGTGCCTGGATGAAGTACACGCCATATTATCAAGATATTTGTTTTTTCCAGTCAGTTTTGTTTAGAAATAGTCTTACTATTTTAGTGGCTAATGAAGCTAATCAAACAAAGTGCACACAGGTCTGATATTCAAGGCAAAGCTTGATGAGTTGATGCTAGACGGTAAACACTGATGAAGTAAAATACCATGGCAAAGCACAAAACAAGTGAGTCAGAATTAGATGTGCCACAGACTGAACCCTGGGCCTCATTCGTGCAAAAAATATGCTCACTCCTTGACCTACATCTTGTGCAAACGTGACAAAATGTATTATTACAACATATTTGAAATGTCTGTAATCTGCAGGTTAGCTTTTCATGTCTATGGTGTGTCAGCTTGGCCAGACCACACAATAAGTATTGATAAGCTGGAACCAGAGAACTTTGACTTCTTTTGGTTGGAAAATAAACAAACCAACAAACTGATTAGTAAAGTTGTTGATAATTAACTTACCAGTTGACAAATAACTGATTAAACACTGCAGCTCTAAAAATGATGATAATGTATTCACACTAGAACTGAAGTAGTAATTGATTTTAATTTAAAAGCATGATTTGAAACTGCACAATTAGGTAAATGCAAAGGCTGCAAATTAAAATACATTACAGCGGGCATGTGACCCATGGTTTATTCATTATATTTGTTTAGTTTGATTGCAGAATGTGCAACACTTGGGTGGCTTAGAATATCATCTTTTGGAATTTTTAAATTTGATTTATTTAACTTAACAAGGTGACAGGTTTGTTTCCTGTGCCATTTTTAAAAAAAGGAAATGTATGTTTGAGGCCATTTATTTCTCACCTGTAGAATATAGAACACAAACAGATTCCATGGTGGCCATGCGATAAAGATTCACTAAACGAAAGCCTTAAAAGTTTATATAGTAAATCGCAATGTCTGCTATGAAGAAAACAAGTAGATCATTTTCTCAAATCGTTCAGGTCCACATTCACACGCTTACAGGCCAAATCCTCATGGACGCCATGTATGATCATCAATGAACACTAAAGAATATCTAAAAGCTGAGACTAGCAATTTCATGCTAATTGTTATTGACAATCTGCGTAAAATCGCACTCTGTTTTTTTGCCAATATATTTTTGTGTTGAAGTTAGTCTGGAAGCATAACCCACGTGAACACATTAATGCTGTAGTTCTGTTACAACCTTAATGTTGAAGTTGTGGATAAATCCTGGATACTTACTATCAGCAGTATCTTCAGTCCGCGGACCGATGCTGTTTTCAGAGGTCGTTTCGCCATCGCATGGCTTGTTTTCAGCTCCGTCCTCTCCTCTGATCGATGCGGGAGCAGATTCGTCCATCTTGGTGTGGCTGTTTGCTAGTGCTAGCTCACCCAGGCTAGTGCGCGTTAGCTTAACAGCGCCACCGTTGTTTTAGAATAGTCTTGCTAACTACGGCTTAGTCAGCTCAACTACAGTAAAAAATAGATTAAAAATAACATGTATGTTAATCTAGCACGTTACCACTTAAGGGTGCAACATCTTATTTATGTTTTACTAAAGCGACTGGTGATGCACGGAACGGCTAGCTGTCTCTCGCACGCCTGCGCAGTGTGACTGTCCCTGCGTCGACGGAAGTGTCTTCTTCGTCTGTTCTGTTTCCATCGCACGAGACGTTCTTCTTCTTCGTCGGTTTTTTTTTTTTCCACAACAGACTGTTGACCTCCAGTGAGGCCAGTGATGCTACATTTGTCCTGAAAATAAAAACAGTAGATTTTTATATTTTTATCATTATTATTGCTATTATCATCATTTATCTTCTGACTATTCGATGTCATTGTGTTTGATATCCTAATGATAAATAATTTTAATTAATTTTTAAAAGAATTATACACTTTGAAATTGTTGAAGTTTTTTTTTTTAATTCAGTTTCTATTTCTTCCATGTTCCAACAGTATTGTAATATATATATATCAATATATTTTTTGTCTCTGCTCGTTAGGTTTCTTTTGTTTGTGTTTGTTACTTTATACTTTACCACCTCTAAATTCCTGGGGGGAAATAATCTTCTTTACTGCATGTAACTGACAACTAGTTATTGCTTTGATGAACACTTTTACTGAAGCATATAAACTTTGAAAATATGACACATACCTATCAGTGGTGCATGAAAAGGCTCAAAATTAGCTTCAACAACCAACAGTAAGTTACTGCTTATCTTTAAAAAAATAAAAAATAAAATCTTCCAGGTAATACTCGCACACATTTAATAATTTCCAAGTAATATTTGAAATTTAAAATTACCCAAGTTTAAAAAAAAATAAATAAAAAAGTTACTTGATTGCTCCCATGTTATTTATTTTACTAACTTTGTCCATAAGGTTGTTTGTAAAGTATGGCACCACACCATAGTATAATCAAAGGCAGGTTTTATTTAATCCAATATGTAGACATCATGGGAAAAATCTTCCATGCTAAAACAGTGGATAGAGGTAGAAGGGCACGTTTTTGAATCGGTGAATGTTAAAATGCACAGGAACATGTTTTTGTTTTTTTTTTTTCTTTTTTTAATTCTTCTTTTTTTCTTACAAATGAACGGGGTGTTTATTTTACAGTAGTAATGAAGATTTTCAGTCAGTTTTTGGGCCACCAAAGCTAATCAAATGCCCATTTTTCATAACGGAGGAGATGAGTTTGTGTACTCTGCTAAATCTACAGTTACGGAATGAAATCATTCATTATTCACAAAAATACATTTAAGTACTCAAAAGTGGAACTTTATAAATATGGGTACATTCCAATCTGAAATAATCATTCTGGTAAGAGATGCACATTACGTGGTACTCAGTTTACAGTAGATACTATGTACGAGAAACCAGAAATGGTTTAAAATCTAATTATCAAGTGCATCAGTTATGACACATCAGTGAAGATATGCTGAATTTGACTGAACCAATTGGAGTAAAGCATTTGATTCTAATCATTATTTTCATGGTTGTCTTGCCATCGTAAAAATATTAATGACAAAACATCACATAACTCCAAGTTTATCACAAACTATTTGACAACAGTGTCATCAGAAACTGTGTAAGAGCGCCAAATCTTCTTGTCCTAATAATCACCCAAAAGCTACACTTACAGAAGACTCTTACTGTGAAATGACCTTTACATGTTATTTCTGTTGACAGACACTTTTGCTTTGACCAAATTATCATGATAACAACTTTACTTATGAGATATCTGGACCCAGCCAGGATTCTACTGTACGCATACAGCTTTTCCTTGTATGTTCTGACGAATGTAACCTGCGAGCACAACAACCCCCGTCACCTCTCCAAAAGCAATGTCGCACATTTCTTGACAGTATCTCTGAAAGAATTGCTCTGCATTTTGGGAGTGAGGTCACATTGTTGAGTCTACCTTAAGCACAAACTAGGCCTAGAATACCAAGACAGCAGACATGCAGACTGTACTCATAAAAGGCACACAGTATACTGTACATGAAGACACACAGTACAAATGGTTCAGGACATATGAACGGAACTATAAAAGTACTAATATTATCTAAATCTAAATGTCATTGGCAAAAAATGAACTGTAGATCGGTGAACCTCATTTATCTGCACCCCGAGAAGTATTTGGAAAACTTAAATGCATTTAAAAAGATTGTGAAACCAATTTAATGGCACATGTACACACTCTCTACGTGTAAACACACTCTGTGCAATCTAATTTGGGGCTGAAAGACTTCAAATCAAATGTGCATCAAGTGTGCAAACTAAATGAAGTTTCACCTTTCTCTTTTTGTGTTTAATGCCCGTCCATTCACTCAACTGGGTCAAACCGCACAACTGCATATCAAATAAATGAGGTTACACCGGATCAAAATTATAAAAACATAACTAAGTCTTGTTGCTAGTATAGAAATGTCAAATCTCTCCTTGTGCATGTTGCAAGTAATGCATTTGTAGATCCAGCTCTCGGGGAAGAGAGCACCCGCATATCATGCATTGGAGAAGCCGTTCTTGGGCAAAAGGCAAACGGGATCCGAGTTTGTGAGGTTCTGTCCGAGGAGCAAGTTGAGGTAGGGGAAGGGTCTGTGTCATGTGTGGCCTCTCGCTCATGACTGCCTGTGGTGTGAAAAATATATTTGGGTGAGGAGGTCTTGGAAGTGCACCAACTGCGACAGAGTGAAGAGGGTGAGTGCCAGGCAAAGCAAGAGGAGGGAGCGGAGCAAGTGGAGGTGAGAAAAAAGGAGATGGCTGATTTATGATTATTTGAGTCCCCGTTACCATTGGTTGCTGCTGCAGCTCCTGTCCATTGCCTGGTTTAAGTTGCCCAGTGAGCAGTGTTTGAGGACCCACAGGGTTACTTTGGAAGCCCCATACTGGTGTGCCGATCCCCTGTCCGAAGCGATGAGGCTCGTATTGAATGGAAATGGGAACCTTCTGTGTTGCTGTTTGCACGCTGGCCCAGCCAGATGACACCTGCTTCTGTTTCAGCTGAAAATCTTGACTGTTTACTAATTTCTCAGTGGAGTTTATAGTCTTTGGAATTCCTGGTGGTGTTTGTATTTCCCACAAGGTGCTACCGACCCCATGAGAAACAGGAGTTGAAATTGGCATAGCACTGCTTTGGTCTATTTGAGCTGAGGTGGATGCACCCGCTGAGCCGGAAGCCCACGGCTTTTGTGGCTCACAGCCGTTCCATGGCTTCTCTGGCTGGCTAACAGTCGACGGTATTCCTTGAGGATTGCTCATGTCCCACACTCTGTCCTCCTTCTTAGGAGGTGTGGACGGCTCCTTTTGGGATGACACGGGGGTAACTGGCCATCGTGGCAGCTGAAGCTCTTGACCAAGCTTATTTGAAGAGCTCTGTGAATTTGCCAGCAGAGCAGGCCTGATGCTCCACAGAGCGGCCCCGTCAATGTAGGAGGAGGGAACAGAGAAATCATGCACAGCGCTTGTGGACGCCAGCACTGTGGATGTGGGTGTGCTACTCCAAGTAACAGTCTTGTGCTGCCTGTGCTGTGCCATCTCGCTCACTGCTGATGGGCTGGATTTTTTTGGCACAGATACGGCGTGAGAGCTGATAACAGAAGATGTGCTCTCTTTCATGTGTGGCGAGTCTAAACTCTGAACCAATGTGGGGCCTGACTGAGTTATCAAAGGGATATCTGCCCAGCCTGAGCTTCTCTGAAGGTGCTGCTGAAGCCCTGCTTGGCTGTCAAACTGCTGTGGAGCTACGGACGATGGGACGGGCATCACTTCTCCGCCGTCCACCTTCCACTGCACCGGCTGGGGGTGCAGATCAGACAGCCACGGCTCCTTCGACGGCCTGCTTTGCAAATCCAAGCGAGATGAGAGCAGGGAAGACGGCGGCTGCACTGCTCTGCTGTGCAACTCAACATCTCTCAGAGCAGAAACTGGATACGGAGGCTGCTGAGGGTTAACCATCCCTGAGCCTGCTAAAGGTCTAGACCAGCCCCACACGAGCCTCCCCCCTCTCCTCCCCCTGCTCCCCCTGCCTCTCATCCGAGCACCGACCGGGAGAGAGTTGTACGGGCTGAAACCCTGCCGCTTGCGAGCGTGGATTTTCTGGTGCACGAGCAGGCTGCTGAACCACGAGAAGGTTTTATGACACTCATCACAGCGATGAGGCCTCTCTCCTGTGTGCGTGTTCATGTGATCACGGAGCAGATATGCTAATCCGAAGCTCTTGTCACACAAGTCACACTTGTGAGGCTTGTCACCGTTATGCGATAACATATGGTGCTGCAGTTGGGTCTCATCGCTGTAGCCTTTGCGGCAGCTGGTGCAGCGGAACGGTTTTTCCTGATGCAGCTTTTGATGTGTTCTCATGTTCTGCAGGAAAGCAAAGTCCTTCCCACAGTCTGGGCATTTGTATGGCTTCTTGCCTGTATGGATGATGAGATGTTGTTGTAAGTAGCTACTGAATCTGAAGCCCTTGTTGCACACTTTGCACTGGTAAGGCTTGTCCTTGGAATGTATGCGCATATGCAACTCTAACACTGAGCGATGGCGGAAAGTTTTCCCACACTCTGAACACTTGTACGATTTGACACTAATGTTTTCACTCTTCCATTTCCCCTGCATATTTTCACTGCTTAATGGAGCTAACTGTTTTTTAGGGGGTGCTGCCGCCATTTTTTCTAAATACTGTGCAACTGACTTGTGGACACTTAACAGATGTACATTTAAACTGGACTCATCGCGATAGACACTCGGACAGTGCGGACAGGTGTGCCCTTTTTCCCAATACTTGTTAATCTCCTTCGGGGGTCGAGGCGTCCTTTCCAGCTTCTCATACTCGGCCTCATGAATAAGCATGTGGGCTCTGAGATTAGCTGGCACACAGTACGTCTGGGGACACAGAGGGCAGTTGAATGTGCGTTTTGGTTCCTCGCTCTGATTCGTGTTCTCTTTTCCCGGCCCTTTAACTGCCTCCTGCACCGGCACAGGGGGCTGTTTGCTGGGCTGCTCGCTGATGGTTTCACGCAGTCTGTGCTGGCGGCAGTGCGCCTTCATGTTCTGGGCAAAAGCAAATTGTTTGCCACATTCGGGGCAGCGGAAGGGCTTCTGGCCCGTGTGCAGATACTGATGCTGATGGAGGAGGCTGCTGTATTTGAAAGTCTTACCGCAAATGTTGCACAGGTGAGAGCGGCTGTTGTCAGTGTGCCGGCGCCGGTGGTCCTCCATGACGGAGTAGTGTTTGAAAACCATCCCACACTCGGGGCACTCGTAGGGCTTGAGGGCGTTGTGACATCTCTGGTGGATGCGCAGGGCCACTGCGTTTGGGACCGTTTGGTTGCACTCTTGGCATGTGTAGTGGCTCTCCAGGGAATGCATCATCATGTGCTTAGTGACGGACACCTTGAACTGGAACTCTTGGCGGCACAGGGGGCAGTGGTAAGGCTTTTCTACTGTATTGCTGCAGCTGTGGTCCCTCAGCTTGTCGGCCGTGGCGAAGATCTTCTGGCATTCTGCACATTCAAAACTCCCCTCCTCCTTCGCTTGCACCTCCTTCTTCGGGGTGACAAGCTGCTCCTCTTTCTCTTTATGTTCGTTTCTGTGTTTAATGAGGCTGCTGCGGTGCTGAAAGGTAAGGCCGCATTCTTTACAGGTGAGGGGCATGAGCTCGTCCTCGTGAGCATGGAAGTGGCGGTGGAGGTTGAAGGTCTCGCGGCGGTCGAACCTCTTCCCACACTCCTTGCACACCAAACGGCACTTTTTCTGTTTAACAGTCGAATCCTCCCCCCGGTCCTCGTCGTCGTCGACCGCGTCCTCCATCCTGTCACCTGCCGTCGCCACATCCTGGGCCGGTGCACTCTGTGAGTTTTTCTCCACCTCTGTGGTGATGTTATCATCCACATGCTGCACATCTTTTGCACTCTCAGTGGCATTATTAAGGTCTGGAAGAGAGAAAAGCACCTCACAGTAATGACAAACTAACAGTAAACAAGCCCACTCTGTTAAACTGCATGCAACTAACACAGCTATGCAACATAAGTTTCCCATAAGAATCCACGGCGCAGGGGTACAGCTCGGTTTTGGCATGTTGTGAGTGAAGTGAGAGCTCAGGTTAGCCTGGAGGCTAAAGCTAACAGTAAAATACATCAACAATGTTAGCATACCGCACTTATCATCTCCCTCCGTGTGTGTCTGCTGCTCCTCGTCGTCGTCGTCTTCAGTTTCTGACCAGTCGAAATCCTTCTGCTCTCCGCCCGGAGCCTCGGCCATCTTTTCAGGCGCCGTTAGGTCCTCCGGTGAAATGCATGTCGTTGTGTCGACTCCAGCACCGGACTCGACACTCACCTCAGAATGGCTGGCAGTGCAGCCGCCGTCGCTGCCAACACGGGCTGCCTGCTCCGCGCCGGGGCTCTCCACGGCTTCGTTACCTGCCGTTTCATCCCTCTGCCCGGAGCTGCAGCCCGTCCCCGCCGCCTCCGTCCTCTCCCCAGATGTTTCCACCTCCTCCGCAGGGGTTTTCTGTCGTTTCGGAGACTTCGATGGGTCTACGGCGGCCATGTTTCACCCATGTACCCCCTCTGTCCAGACACACAGCCAGCACCGAGGCTTCTGGTGGAGACTTTCACAATAAGACGGTTACTACTGACAACCAGATGTTGTTCATGGTTTCACGTTTTAAAGTGTGGAATCACACAGCTCAGCACAAAACCATTCATACCGACGGCAGATTTTTATTTTCGTAATTTTTATTTATTTATTTTTTTTTAACCAAGACGGTTATTTTGTGGCTTGCAATGGCAGAAAAAGTGACAAAAACATTGAATTAGAGACGTTAATGATACATGTAAATTATTTCTGTATTTTTATTTGTTAGTTTGTTTTTTTATTTGTTTGCTCACCATTTATCAAAAACGCCATTTCCAAAATTATTCACACTAACTGTGACACATTTCGATTTGTATATATACATATATGGACTGGAAATGACATTACCAATGACAAAAGACACACTGGTAAACACATTGTTGTTACATTTAAATTAGTATTATGTTTTAATTAATGTATTAATTAATTACTTCGGTTGGTTTATTTACGTTTTCTAAAATGCCATGTCCAAAAATATCCATATCCCCTGTAACTGTTGGAAATTTCACATTTTTGTGAAAATCCAGGATAGGTTTTGATTTGTAGTGAACTATTATTTGACCAATAGATTTTTTTTTTTAATTTTTTTTCTAACTGGAAATGACATTCAGAAGTGACAAAAGGCACTGTGTTAAAGATATTAACATACATAAAAAATTCTATGTTTTAATTAAGTAATTAGTTTATTTGTTTTACATTTTTTTTAAATCAAAAACGCCATTTCCAAAATTATTCATGCTCTTCATAACTGTCTTTCTTTCTTTTTAAAATATTTTTATGAAAATGTGTTTTTTTTAATTTGTTTTATTTTATTCAAATTTTCTTTCACATTTTTGTGAAAACCCAGTACACACTTTGATCTGTAGTGATTTAAAAAAAAAAAAATGTAATCAATAGGTTTCTTCTGGCTGTAAGTAAGTAAGACCACCCAACCCTCCCCAGTCGCTCCTGATGAATCTGAACAGTTCTTGTACCACCTTCTCAACACTCCAGCAGACACTGAACACGGCGGTCTCCATGGACGCAGAACAAGGAGGACTCCACTTCTCAAAGGCAGTCACACAACAGCTGTGGAAGGAACTAAATACCTCGAAGACCTGGAGACCGTCAAAAAAAAATGGGGTATGAATAATTTTGGACATGACATTTTCGGTTTGAAAAAATCTCCCAAAAAAACCCAAACGGGAAATACTTAAAATTCACTGTCAACGTCTCCAACAATGTGTACATTTCCCCTTTTACTACTGCTGTGATTTTGCTGCTTCTGCACACCAAATACTTTGATCTCAACTTACTTCAACATAAATAAACGTTCCAACACAACCATCAATAACACATTGTCTTTAGACAACAGTGACAAATCCACAAGTGATGCGCTGATTTCATTTGCAGTCCATGTCTGTGTTTTATTAAGTTTAGTTACATTTCATCAGAACAGTAGCTATCTACAAAATATAGCTTGTGCAAAACTACGTTATGATGGCCATATGCTGTTTCTTTGCAACTATTTACAAACACATCCATGATACCACATGCAAGATTATCATAAATAGCCCCTACATACCTATGTATGCTTAGAAATTCCACCATAAACATATGAATTGAAGTAGCATACTGTGATGTTTATGCCAGGAGGGTTTTTTTTTGTTTGTTTTTCATATCTCCAAAAATTCTCAATTCTTTAAAATATAATATTTTTGTCTCAAAACGCATTTAACAGAACACAGTCTAACTTTTTTGTCCAACCAAAAGTTGGAAAAGTACTTACCATGAAACTGTTAAAAAAGCACAAGCAGACATTAGCAGGTAATTACAACATCAGTATAACTACAATATATGGTAATAACTGCAGATTACAAGTACTTTATGGCAATGTAGTTATTGTATCAGGAGCAGTGAGTCAGTACTGAACTAGTGAGAACATCATTGAGCTTTGCAGCTCTGCTGCAAATCATGTACAGAGACATGCATATTGAACATCAGCACCTACAGTATATCACTTTTCTGAGTATTGAAAGTCTCATGAGTGAAGCTGTCACTGCACAGAACAACTGTTTTTCCGAGAGTCTTTAAGCACAAGAGTATGTACGCATGTCTGAGGAACCAAGCTAATGTTAAGGCCACCCTATGATCTCACATTTCTAATTTTCTTATCCACTTCAGTCCTTTCTGAGTACAAGCCAAAGTGCCAGATGGATTACTAATTTGGAGTGGGACGTAAAACTCCAAAAAAACTATTTATTTATTTTTTACAGAAATACTGTCAGTAGAAAAAAAGCATCATTTTTGTCTGTCACATTTTGAAACATCAAATATGCAGGATATACAGTTTGAGTTTTTAAATACATTCTCCTCAGCGTCGTCTTCTGCGCCTGTGGTCGACAGCTCGTCCTCGCCGTGGCCTCTGCACACTTCCATTTGTGTCTGTAGGTGGATCAGAGGGAAAAGTGCTGTGTATGTCTGGAGATGATTTTGCAGGTACACTGCTATTATTCGAGTGCTGGGTGGCCTGCGGTTGCTGTTGTATTTGTGTTTGGTGCTGCTGTGACTGTTGCTGTACAACATGTGACTGCTGTTGTTTTAGCTGCGCCTGCTGAGGCGTCTCGATCCGCTGTGGCTGTGGCTCTATGTGTTGCAGCTGCTGCTGAGCAGGCTGGGGCTGTAAGTGCTGTTGAGATGTTTGTGATTGGTGCACTTGTTGCATGCGTTGTTGCTGCGGCTGCGGTTGTTGTTGGGCCTCAAGCACTCCTAACAGCCTTTGCAAGAGGACATTGTTTTGTTGTAGACTGACTGCTAATGCCTCTTGTGAGGCGACAAGTGTTCTCATGTCCTGTCGGAAACCTTCTCCGAACTCCCGTAGACTCTTTTCAACCCGATTTCCCAGCTGAATTGCAGCTTCCCCTAACCCTCGCAGCTCATCCTCCAGCCAGGAGCTGTGTGGAGGGGCTTCAAGAGGACCCTGCTGTGCTCCAAGTGATGGCTGAGGACTGCTGGGCTGAGGGCTGCCGTTGAGAAAAGGAGCACTGTAGAGAGGGGAGGGAGGCAGCCATCGCTCTGATGGAGGAGGCGGTCCTATTCCTAAACCGAGTCCTAATCCCAGTTTGTCCTCCATGCTGTTCTCGACTGCTTCACACTCAGGTTCCCCCATGTCTCTCTCCCGCTCAGGATTGTCCTCATCTTTCTCCAGACCATCTCTCTCCGATCCATCCACTCCTACACCTGCAAAAAAAGTAGACACAAAGACTACAGATATTTTTTTATTTTATATACATTCTGTTGATCCAGCTAAAAGAGATTCTCTTTTTGCATATCCCAAGACGCTGAGGGAGCGCAGGGTCAGTCACACTAAGGCGGCCCTGGAGCAGACAGGGTTAAGGGCCTTGCTCAGAGACCCAGCATTGGTAGCTTGGTGATGCTGGGGCTTGAACCCTTGACCTTCTAGCTGCATTTATAGAATGTACAAAGAAAAGCAGCTGAGGCAACTATTTTTACCTGTATCAGAGTCAGGAAAGCATGTGAAACTGGGCTTTGGCCTGGTGCTTTGTTTCTGCCTCGCTTGCTGAAGCCTGGGGCTTGGCTGAGAAGGGCGTCCAAGCATTGAGGCTCCTCTGCTGGAGGGCAGGTAACAGCTGCGGTGGCGAGCATCAGCCAGCCTGCCTCCGTTGCGCCTTTTTAAGTCGTCCCAGCGTTTCTTCACCTCCCGCAGTGTGCGTGGGACTCTGGACACAGCGTTGACTCGCTCTAGGATTCCCGCCCAGATGCGCTCTCTCTCCCGTCGCCGGAGCCTCCCAGCAGGACCGAAGAGCTCTCCTTCACACCGGGTGACTTCTGACACCAGAACTTCCAGCTCTGCTCCACTGAATCGACTCTTTCTTTTTCCTGCACCACCAGCAGCCAGTGCAGCTGACATAGCTCTGTCTGCGGAGTGAAAGGAGACAAGAAACAGCTAAATATACTGTGCGAGGAAGAAAAATGCACTTTATCAATCTTATTTTTAATTCAACCTTTATTTAACGTCGGAGTAAACTGAGGTATGGAGGCCTCATTTACAATGAAGCCCAGAAAGGAAAGAAAAAAAAAAAGAGGATGTCAGCACACAAATAAGAAATTTGGGTAACAATGACAATACATTTTTAAGATAAACATTAAAAAGGTACGTGTATTAAAATAATACACATTAACTAGGGCATTGAAGTTTTAAAAACACTGAGTCGATTAAAACAAGAGGGGCTTCCAGTAAAATGAGCCTCAATTGTTGTAAGGATATAAATGAGTCTAGGTTTAGATTGCTGTGCATGTTATTTCTGGTGGCAAGTGAGCAGCAAGTAAGACTCAATACCTGCAGCATAATCCAATCACTTGTTTGATAAATGTCAGGAATGAGGTACGAGGCTATTTTAAGTATGCCAAGCCAGAACGTATTCAGATATTCTTGGCAAACAATGAAGCATTCAGAGGAAATTTTTTCTCAAGTTTATTTCATGTTTCCTACTTGTTACACAAGATGCTACAAGTTTGTCGTGACTGCGTTACATGCAGCATCCTGTTTCCCATAACGGTCAAAATCTCACTCATTCTTACTTTGTTCGATGGACAGCAGGTCGTCTGAGGACATGCCGGGTGCCATGATGTTGGGATGCACCACTACCACGTTGAAGGGCAGTCCCCCAGGCAGTCCACTGCTCTGGTCACAGCTGCCGTCCGAGTCCTCATCCTCCCTGGGGAAGCCGTTCTCTGAGGCTCCCCCTCCAAAGGGTCCCTCCGGAGACTCCACTTTGATGTGCATGGGAGGTGATTGCTCGTACAGCAGCCCCCCCTCCTCGTAGTACTCAGTCATGGATCAGACCTGAACTGACTGGCGGGCCAATTCTGATGCTGACAGCTTCTGCCCCATTAACAAAGCAGAACTGAACCTACTGCTAAAGACATTACAACTCTTCAGTGTGCTGCATCACATACTTATGAAGCTGCTTGGGTTACAGCACACACTGTAGGGTGATTTTCTTCAGTAAAAATAAAGCTAAAAGCAGCCTTAAATACTGTTTTTCAACACTATTCTTAAAATGGTCATTGTTGCAGCTGAGAGAGAGAGAGGGAGATAAAAATAAGATTGTCTGACTTGAGGATGGATTCAGGAGACTTTAATGGCTAGCTCCAGCCAGTTGAATCCATTTCTATCATTTTAATTTGCACTGATATGTTACAGAAAACATATACATGCTGTGTGAAACAGCTGGAGCAGGCTGACACCTAAACGTCCATTTGTGTTGCACTGAGGTGCATCATCCAGGCAGAAAATCGCCTTCAGAGCTGAAATACAACACAACAAAACACTGCTTACAGCTATGTGAAATATCACAACAGCTACGTTAGCTTTTCTCAGTGATGTTGCCTTCTGTGTTATGTCGCCTTCTGTGTTATGTCGCATCGATGCGCATTTTTTTCTGCACCACATCCGCAATGGTTGCGCATTCCGCATACATTAGGTGCTGATCTTGGGATGGAGCTAGTTGTTAAGCTAACAGGCTAAAGCAGCTTTACTGAGAGCTGCGGCTTCATGCGACGCGGCAGCGACTGACGAGCGGACACGGTTAGAGAGCCGCTGTTGTGTTTCTTACCTCATGACGAGGACACATGGGAGGCAAAAGCAAAACCAAAACACATTCGGTGCAGCTGTTAGCTCAGCAGCCGAAACAAACCGAAGACCGTCGCTTGGTGATGACGTCACCGAGGGGGGCAAGCGCAGGACCAATCAGCTGAAGATCGATCCATCTGATTTTTGTTTGTATACCTCCAATAAATGTATGATTCATTTTTTGTTCTATTTGACAATTTGATTTATAGTTTTGCAATTTTATTTCATTTCATTTTCAAGTTGAGGTGTGGATATATACAGTTGAAACCAGAAATTTACACACACTATATAAAATACATGTAACTTTTTTTTGTCACTCTCTGACATTAAATCAGACTAAAATTTTCCTGTTTTAGGTCAGCTAGGATTACCAAAATTATTTCTATTTGCTAAATGCCAGAATAATAAGAGAGAGATTTTTTTTAGAGAACGTTTTATTACTTTCTTCAAAGTCAGAAGTTCACATACACTTTATTTACTATGCCTTCAAACTATCCCAGTTGATGATGTCATGGCTTTGGAAGCTTTTGATAGGTTAATTGACCACATTTGAGTGAATATGAGGGACACCTTTAGCACACACACCTAAGGCACACCTCGAACGCACTGCTTCCTTTTGTGACAATGTGGGAAATTCTAAAGAAATCAGCCAAGACATTGTGGACCCCCACAAGTCCGGTTCATCCTTGGGTACAATTTCCAGATGCCTGAAGGCTCCACTTTAATCTGTTCAAACAATTATTCGCAGACCACTCAGGAAAGAGATGGGTTCTGTGTCCCAGAGATGAATGAATTTTGGTGCAAAATGTGTGTATCAACCCCAGAACAAAAGCTATAGACCTTGTGAAGATGCTGCTGAAGCTGGTAAGAGAGAGTCATTATCCACAGTGAAATGAGTCCTGTACTGACATGGGCTGAAAGGATACTCAGAGAGGAAGAAGCCATTATTCCAAAAGCAACATAAAGAATTCCGATTACTGTCTGCAGATGTGCACATGGACAAAGACCTTAAATTTTGGAGACATGTCCTGTGGCATGATGAAACTAAAATTGAACTGTTTGGCCTTAATGACCATCGTTACATTTGGAGGAAAAAGGGGGAAGCTTGCAAGTCTGAAGACACATCCCAACTGTGAAGTACAGGGGTGGCGGCATCATGTTGTGGGGGTGTTTGGCTGCAGGAGGGACTGATGCACTTCACAAAATAGACGGCATCATGAGGAAAGAACATTATGTGGAAATATTGAAGCAACATCTCAAGACATCAGCCAGGAAGTTAAAGCTTGGGCACAAATGGGTCTTCCAAATGAGCTGAAAAGGCGTGTGGAACAAGGCAGCTTACAAACCTGATTTAGTTACACCAGTTCTCTCAGGAGGAATGGGCCAGAATTCCAGCAAACTATTGTGAGAAGCTTGTGGAAGGAAACCCAAAACGTTTGACTCAAGTCATACAGTTTAAAGGCAATGCTACCAAATACTAAGGAAGTGTATGCAAACTTCTGACTTTGAAGAAAGTAAGAAAAAAAAAATCTAAAAAAAAATCTCTCACTCATGATTTTGGCGTTTACTAAATAGAAATAATTTTGGTAATCCTAACTGACCTAAAAACAGGAAAAGTTTAGATTGATTTAATGTCAGATAGTGAGGAGAA